ACGGTTGATCCCGGTAGAGCCCCGGCAAAGTCCGGTTCATTTCAAAAGAATCACGGCAATTTGCGATGATAGCACTTGTTTGTATTTAAACCCTACCCAAATTGCTCTTCTGTCCAGTCTTGCATAAGGATTATTCAGAAAATCATAATGAATTACTTATTCAATAGGAGAAAAAATCATTTAGAATTATATCAAAAGAAAGTTATGTATCAACGTCATCATTTTTTAGCGTTTTCAATCCAACGGGGTTCTACCGGTGCTCTGCCAGGATCGTCCTGGGCTTTGCCGGGGCTCTGCCTTGATTGACTGGGGCTCTGTCTGGGTCAACAGGGGCTCTGCCGGCGTCATCGAAGCACCGGCATGAACCGTAGCTTCTCCAGGGCTCTGTCTGGATGGTCCGGGGCGCATGCTGGGTGTTAGTTGGGAATTACCGTAGTGCTACCGGAAAAGTGTGACTGCAACAATAATTTCACCCCGGATCGTCTCGGATCATCCCAGTAACTTACCGCGGTGGTTCTGGGCTCTGCATGAAGTAAGAGACCGCAAATAGTTGTGGTTTACGAAATCCAACGCACTTAAGAAAGTGACCCAATTTTAAACAAAATTTAACGACTGATTACATTTCAATGTCTTTTTTAATGAAAATTTATTGTTTAACTGTTGGGATCGAGGTTAAAATTTAATGTTACATCGGACAGTATTTTATAAAATGCATAATTGGTACATATCATGATGCTGAGTTTACACGTTTATTGGTTTATTATGTACTAACACAAAAGTCTGAATATGGACTAAGTAATATCTACTGTGTATATAAATTACTTATATACACTACAGATATATCTTTTTTTCTTAGTTTTGTCAGTAGATTTTAAAGAAGTGGTTATGCCTTTAACAGGTTACTAACCTTAATGACCTAAATTAAGGACATGGTTATGCCTGGTATTACGGTAGGATTTTACTGAGAAACAACCTAAAACTCCGAAGCTATCCAAAAATTTAATCGAAGCTTGGCTTCCAGCTTTCTACAAAATTTATCTATCAGGGCTAGGATCCAAAATCATTTAGCCAATCAAATTTAATCTTACATAGCGTCAAAAAACCTTCAATTTTCACGCCATTTTTAAAAATCAGCAAGTATTGTTTTGAGCGCAAAGATATAATGATGATTAAAATGTTTGTCTTTATGAATTCTTTTCAATAAATCATATTTACACTGACTTCTGATTTAGCGATTTCACCTGTTTTCTCTGTAGTAAGTTTCCGTTTGGTTAATTAACATAAGTGTACATCTCGTTCTGTGCATTTTTTATTTTTCCTTTTTTCGGGTCATTTTATCCTTTCCGATATTTAGTGTATGTATTTACTGGCCGGGATCCGGGACGCCCGGGATCCGGGATCGTATAAGATATGGATGAAAAACCTAATGAACTATATTTGTGTTGATTGTTGTCGTAATGAAAGGCCATTAAACGTTAATTTTTTTATTGTATATAATGAACGTTAAATTAATTTAACTTAGAATGTAGATATATTTAGAGCTATTTATTAGCAAACTTAAAATGCGGAAATCACAATACTTATAATTATATGCCTAATTAATTGGAAAAATCAAAGACTATTTTCTTGAATTGGTCAAATCCCGGGATCCCTATATGTTTTAAAACGATCCCAGCTTTTCTGAAAACTATATACTTGAACTGGCCAATCCGTGAGATCTATTTACATTTTAATACGATCCCGGCTTTTCTGAAAACTATATTCTTGAACTGGTCAATTCCCGGGATCCCTATATGTTTTAATAGGATCCCGGCTTATCTGAAAAACATCTTCTTAGACTGGTCAATTTCCGGGATCCCTATATTTTTTAATAGGATCCCGGCTTTTCTGGCTGAATTGATTGACAACTTGTGTTTACTTTAGGACTTGTGCCTCTCATTCCAATACTAAATAACATACATGTATTACAACTTAATTTTGTATAAAGAGACATCTTTATGAAATCTACCTATCTAACATTTTGTGGTCAAGGTCAACAGGCCATATAGTAAATGTGCATAGACATAGGTTCTTCATTCTATCTGTTTACATGCACCTTCATATATACTCATACTCATCTTGGTTAAACTGAGAGAACTTTATATGTCACTTTCAGTCAATGAGTTTAAGATTTTGAATTTACTGGCCCGAATTCCAGTTTTGAATTTATTCTACTAAATAATTAACAAAATTTTCTTAAATTTACACTGGCCTGAACTTATATACACTGGCCATCGGGCACTGGGCCAGTGTTGACTTCACTTTTAGTTTGATGTTCGCTGAAGTCTCTTCAGCTAACAGAACTCTCATTTTTACATTTAAACACACCCCTTGAAAAAAATTACGAAGCGAGTCGCTACTAGCTTTTTTAAAAGCTAACCTTGTTTAAATGTTAAATTGATAAGGTTGGTTAATATATATCAAGAAGTGTAAACAAATCCAGAAGAAGACAGGTTCATCATACAAGGCAAGTAAACATTTTATTTTCTTCGTATGTCAAAAAAAAACCGATTTCAATCTACTAACGATTAGAATCTTTTTATGAATCACATTAAATAAACAGTAAAATAATCAATATCTTTAAATATTCAATTCATGTTATTTAAATGGAACATCAACATGAATTTTCTTACTATCATCACATAAAGAAAAGTAGACCGTCATGTTCAGTTTTATTATTGTTATAGTACTTCGTCCGTCTGCGAACAGAGTTTTACGAGTTTTTTTAAAAAAAACTTTTTATCTAATATTACTAGTATATAACTGGTCTTCTGGATTTGTGAAACAAAGATTCTCATTCTAGTTAGTTATCATTATCTACTCATTGATTGAAAGTAATTAAAATAATTAAAAGAAAATAACACATAAAATTATAATCAACTTAACCAAAACTACATCTAAAACATTATTTATGACGGCTAGTCTTACTTTGAATTGAAGGACTATAATTGAATGTGTTTGTTAGTTGCTATTAATAATAGGTAATAAAAAAATCACAGCAACAACTGCAAAGTGACGATCAGTCAATTTATCGTGCACACCAATTTGTGACATACAGATGTAGATTGTATGGAAAATGGAGTTTAAATGCTATGTTTATTTTAAAATGAAATGTTAAAAAATTTAGTGAAGCTCTAGGAGTGGTATAGGAGCTTAAATTTTATTCTAAATCCATTATCAAAGTATTTGATCGAGCGGAATATTACTCATTTAAGCGGGTATTCAACTTAATTGCATTTTGTGTGGAGCCCTATTTAGACCACTAACAAAACAGAATTAACCAGTACCTCAAGTTGAAAATACAGAGAGGAAATTCTTTACACAAAAAGAAAATTTTAACAACACAAAAAACATATTAGAAACTGATAAATTATCATTAGAGTTATCACATTTAGCAACAAGTCGATAGACTGATACCGAGCATGAACTCTTCGACAGTGTGAAAAGTTTGTGCCAGTACTCTTCTGTATCTAAGAGGAGACACAGCGGAGAACCAGCTTTTCATTCAGATAAACATGGTAAGGTTTACTCTTTAATCTATTCATTACTAGTAGGCAATTTTGATAGGTATAGTGAGTGCTTTTTCTGAAAACTACAAATAATTGTACTATTTAGTTTTATACTTATTTTTCATTGCAGATCATAGTGTTTGTCATTGCAAAGAAGGACCATTGCAAACTCTTCAAGCTATAATTTCGGTAAAGATGAGAAATCGAAGAATGAGGCGAAAAGTTTTGCTGTTAATCTATGTAGCATGATGTCAAAGGCGTGCAATTTATCCCAATTTAAAAATGTGATGTTCATTTTTTACCTTATTTCAAACGCCTTAATAAGCTTTTGTCTTCTTATACCATTCATATTTTTATATGATCGTGCCATTGAGATGGGAATAGACACAGAATGTGCAAAATGACAAAGTGTTTAGTGGGATTCTTGCTGACAAACTGAAGATAAATAAGATTATGTTTTTCAGCAGCGCAATTATAGTTACTAAGTCGTGGCCACGAGATAGTTAAGTGGTGCGCACGAGATAAATAACCAATCATATTACACTTATATGAATTTCCCGAGTTAACTAGACAAGTGCTATAGTACAAGGATGCCCCTTTTTCACCTGCCTGTAAAAGTGCCATTTATACAAGTTATTGATAGGTCAATGATAAACTGTCGATATAGGTAAACCATATCAACTTCCGGTTAAGGAGTAAAGTAACTCGTGACCATGACATAGTATCTCCTTCCCACGACTTAATTATCTTGTGACCAAGACTTAGTAACTCGTGGCCACGTTCCCTCGACTTAACTTTCTCGTGGCCACGACTTAGTAACTCGTGGCCACGCCATAGTAGCTCGTGGCCACGACATAGTATCTCGTGGCCACGACATAGTATCTCGTGGAAACGACTTAGTAACTCATGGCCACGACATAGTATCTTGTTCCCACGAATTAACTATCTCGTGGCCACGAATTAGTAACTCATGGCCATGACATAGTATCTCGTGCGTACGAGATAAATAAAAAATACAATAAGGTTATTTAGAAGCTGATTTTAGTAAGATTTTAGAGTTTTGAAGCGTTTTAAAATACTATGAGTATAAAACTACGGAGACATATTAGAAACAGAACATATCAAATTACCCTCGTATGACCTTAGAATGAATTAATGTATGGACTATGGACTGTCACAGTAACTGCTAGGAAGAAGTGGTTAACGAAATCAAACGTCCTTCAAAAATGACCCAATTTTGAACAAAATTTTACTACTGATCACATTTCATACTCTGTTTTTAAAATCAAATTTAGATTTTTAAATGTTGGGTGGATAAATTTCAACGGGGTCAAAATTTAATGTTACAGCGGACAATATTTTATAAAATGCATTAGATGTACATGTCATGATGCGGACTGGCACGTCTATTGGTTGGCCTACATAACATATTACTAGCACAAAAATGACTGCATATAGCATGAAAATAGATACTTAGTATATTTACTGTGTGTATGAATTATTTATATGCACAGCAGTTAGATTACTAGCTTTAATGACCTAAATTTAGAACATGGTTATTTAAATGTAATATTGATAAGAAAGAAGTGTAAACACATCCAGAGGAAGACAGGTTTATCATACAAGGCAAGTAAACATTTTGTTTTCTTCTGAAATTTAACAATTTTCATTGTATGTCAAGAAATGATTTCAATTTACTAAAGATAGGAATATATTTATGAATCGCATGAAATGAAATAAACAGTATAGAAAATAGATCAATGTCATGTGAATATAAATTGAATTCCTTTAGTAGTGACTGTGACAGTCCATAATCATTGAATATAATTTGAATTCATGTGATTTAAAATAAAAGAATTAAAGTTATAATGTGACGGAACATTAACATGAATTTTCATACAATCCTCACATAAAGAAAAGTAAACAGTCATGTTCAGTTTTACTGTTAACAATGTCCATCTCTCTGTGCGTACACAGTTTGACGCGTTTTTTAATAATAAAAAAACAAACTAGAAATGTGTCCATAGGACACGGATGCCCCCAAACTCATGTTTTGTCAATCTTATGGTCAAATATTTTTTGGCTACATGTGCATCAATTTGAAAACTAAAAATCTTTTATTTAGTAATGGGATTTTTTTTATATAACCACAAGTGAACCCCAAGGTGCATGAGTACACATGTTTACCAACATTATTGTAAACTTTCAGGCCTACAGGTCAATTACTTTTTGAGCTATGCATGAACAAATTGAAAATTGCAAATTTTTATTAAGTCAGCTCTAACAAAACTGAAAAAAAATCTACATGCAAAATCCCTAGTGCATAGCTTCACAGCGATGTTGATCATTATTCCTGCAAAGTTGATTGATTTTAACTCAAGCACTCAAGGAACAAATAAAACAACATAATGAAACTAACTGTTTTTACAAAGTCAAGGGCAATTACTCTACAAATACTGGATAAATCCACAAGCGAAATCCAAGGTACACAACTACATATGCTGACCAACATTTCTATTAAGTTTCATGACTCTAGGTTAAATACATTTTAAGGTACGTACGACAAAAATTGAAAACTGCAAATTTCCACTTAGTTAAGGGCAATAACTCTGACAAAACATATCAATTCACAAGCGAACCCCCAGATGCAACACTTCACATGCTGATTAACATTCCTGTAAAGTTTCATGACCCTAGGTCAAATACTTTTTGAGCTACGTCCGACACATGTTAACAATTGCAAATCTTTTATTAAGTCGAGGGCAATAACTCTTTCAAAACAACATAAATCCACAAGCGAAACCCCAGGTGCACAATTTTACATGCTGATCAACATTCCTGTAAAGTTTCATGACTAGGTCAAATATTTTTTGAGTAACGTGCGACACAAGTTGAAAATTGCAAATTTTTACTAAATCAAGGGCAAAAACTCTAAAATACTAAATATATCCACACGAAAATACCCAGATGCACAAGTTCACATCCTGAGCAACATTCCTGTAAGGTTTCATGACTCTAGGTCAAATACTTTTGTGTTACGTGCGACACAAGTTTAAAATTGTAAATGTTTACTAAGTCAAGGGCAATATAACTCTAAAAATACTAAATATATCCATACGAAAATACCCAGTTGCACAACTACATATGCTATGCTGATGAACATTCCTGTAAAGTTTCATGACTCTAAGTCAAATACTTTTTGAGCTACCTGCGACACAAAATGAGAACGGACTGAAGGACGGATGGATGGACGGATATAATTTATTAGGAAACATCATAATCACGGCAATTTGGTCAATGTACTGCTACTGTTTCCTCGACTGGTAATATATCCCTTAGAGAAGAACAATATATAGCAGGGATTATTTGTAGAATTTCTGTTAAAATTACGTGATGCTAACTACGATACCTCACTACTAAATAATGGCATTGTAAATAATATATTTATGTTTCTATTTGAGGATATTTTATTAATTTAGATCCGATCATACTATTCTTAGCCATAAAATAATTTATGAGCTTGCTATTAATGGATAGATCCCTACTCTGACCTTATATTAGAATAACAATACATTCTACCAAGAACACGAGCATGTGGCATTTTGTTAACAGATAATGTTTTGGTAACATTCTCATTGAATCCATTAATCTGATAGTTAGAATTATGTAAGCATTACAATGGGCTTTATGCAATATGAACATTCAGTATCATAAGTATATAACCTTCTTTCCATATTATATGTAACATGCTAACATGCTAAGATGCCTCACGATATCTTTAATCAAAATCGATTTAATTTAGCTCCGCAAACTTTCTTAGACTGAAAATATCTTGGACCCGCTGAAGTTTAATACAAACCAAATCTGCATGTTATGGTACATTAATTTTAGCTCGACTTTTTCGAAGAAAAAAGAGCTATTGCTATAGTCATGTTGTCTTTGCTGTTGCCGTTGCCGTGCAGTTGCTATTTCAACTTAAACGTTGGTTATTTGTTTTATTTATCTATGGATTGCCATCATACTTGAACACAACAGACCTTTGGCTTCACTCGTAAATGACCATGGCCTTCAATGTCAAATAACAATTGGCTATAATTTTATATCATAAATAGTTTGTCTTAATACTTGGACACAATAATCCTTCCGTCAAGAACATATAATTGATTATGATTATCACTCATCAATGACCTTGACCTTTAATGTCAAATCATTGATTTTTTTTTTCAAAAACAACTACACATTTGTTATTTATGAATGGATTGTCTTCAAACTTGATCACAACAATCCTTACGACAAGACCTTTATGGAAAATCCAACCTTGAAGGTCAAAATAGTTATTATATTGATTTATTATTTTATAAGGCCAATACCGCCCATAAATGAATATAAATAAAAAAAGAAAGTCATGAGCAGGAAATTATACACAGAAAATCACAATCGGCACACGCAGCCTGGACTCAATGAAAAATATAAAAAAAATATAAAAACACTTTTATTTTCAGATGAACACCGGGAACGCGACTTTAGACGGATCATTACATGCAGACGAAATCAGGACATTACTGTACAACAATGAATCGAAAACAACAGAATTGAAAATAAAAAAGAATGTTGGCGATTTACTTGAATTGGAGAAAAGGGAAAATGTAACTAGTACTGTATCGCCTGATGGTGGTTGGGGTTGGATAGTAGTGCTTGGTTCATTCTTTGTTCACTTAATAACTGACGGATTGTTGTATTCTTTTGGAATATTGTATATTGAATTCTTAAATCAATATGAAGGCAGTAAAGGGGAGACAGCTTGGATAGGTTCTTTGGCAATAGGACTTCAGCTTGTAACGGGTAGGAGAAAAGTGCTAGTTAATTAGTTGTTCTGCAGATTTCATTAGTTATCATTGTCTACTATAAATAACAATGTGGCCATACCACGTGACCTTTCGGGTACGGAACACGCCGATTTTTCACCCGATTCAGGTATGTTTTTTATTCATAACTTATTTATTACTCAACCGATTTTGATCAGATAAGGCGCAGAGTACCCGTAATTATATCAGTTATCCACGGTATATCAAAATTCTGAAAACCCCTGAATAGTTTTTGAGAACATTCAAGTACAGTTTTCTTTTCATAGCCTGGGCCGAGGGGAACGGCACACACTCATTTGGCATAACAGGCGATTTCTAGCAAATCATATGTTTTTTGACACTATTTCATAGAAAAATACTTGTTAAATCTGATATATTTACTATGTCCAATGTATCGAGTGAATGCAATGATGTTTTAGCATATTTTCATAAAGTTATGTTGAAATGATACGGAACACACTGTTATTTCAAAAGATACGGTACACACACAATTTCTGTCTTTGAAACAATTCTAAAATAAAATATATAAAAAAATTAATTTAAATTATAATGTGAGTGATTTTTGTCATAGTTATACATTTTATTAATTTAAACGAGAACCCTGGGACCTGTTTTGCAAAGTATCATTATGCCTACAGTTTGATGTAAACAGGATTATTCAAAAAATAAAAGAACATTTTGAGAGTACGTTGCGCAAAATTCGATTTTATATGTTGAGCAATTAATATTTGGCTATAAAATGTTAAAATTTTAGGGAGGAATACGGAAGACATTCAAAATATTGTTTTGTTTTGATTTTCATTTGAAACAATTAGGTATATTCTTTTGATTATAAAACGAATTGTGAAATTCATGGACATCTGTTATGTGTGATTATTATTTCATTTAATTTGTTTGTTCGAATATATAAATGACTGTCTAAACGTAGTATGAATATATAAACAAACAAGAAGTTAGGAGTAAGTTGGAAATATATGTTCCTTGCAAAATGATGTTTAAATAATCGAATTTGGAGGAAAAACTCTGGTTTTGATGTAAGAGGATTTTTTTAAATCACGGAAAGTTTAAAGTTTTTTTTCGGCCACATAATATTTGGTATGAATAATCTGCCAGGGTCCCAAACTAACTGCATGTATCTAAATTATCAAATTATCTACATATGGACAAATATATTTCGCAGTTTTACGTGAAATCAAAATTAATAATTTGATAATTTGAAGAACCCATATGGGAACAAGGCCTGTTATATATCGTAACGTAAACCGTAGTTTATACAAGGTAACCTTGTTACATATATACATGTAAGAATAAACATGTTAGGAAATTTGGTAAAATTATGCCTATCTTGGACTTTCATTTCAAGATGCATTAAACACTTGAGTTCATGGATATGTGTGCTTGCGTGTTTGTGTTAAAAATAAAAATGATATTTAATAATACCCATTTTGTCAATCAAATGCTATGGATTTTGGAGGCTGCGTTCTGTTTTATATACTACATGAAGTAGGTACGAGACCACAAGTGTCACTTCGATGTTTCGATTTTTTATGTGAGAAAGTTTTCTTACTACCGTTGTCGGTCGTTTTACTCAGGTGCCCGTTCGTTCCTTTATTTGTACCCAAAGGGGCACTTGTAAAACTCGAAAGTCGCCACATGATAATGTCAGTTTTATGAGCCGTGAAACCAAACCAAAAAATGACCTCATTACATGAATTAAAAGTTATTTTTAAAGCTTCATGCCTTTAAACATTAAAAATTTAAGCAATGGCGACTACATTTTTATTTGTTTGGGTCGTCAGACAAAACAAATAATGGTAGCGAAATTTCAGGCTCTGATATGCTTATTTGCAAAATAAGAAAGTAGTCCGAACCCCTGGAAGCGGTTACTTACCTTTATATGTACTCTAACGCTGAAAAAATAAGGGGGGATCACTGTGTCAAGATTTTCAAATGACGGGCGCATTAATTTTCAAGCCTTCTCGGGAGAAGAAAAAGTAGTTCCCGATTGGCCAAAGATTTCAAATATTGTGTATTTCTTTACAGATATACATGTAATATTAAGCTCCATGATTATTTACATCAGTGTCAAACGAAATAAATAAGGGTTACAAACCCTAATTTAGAATGATATGGTTTTCTTCAGACTGTTATCTTATAACTTTCCCGTGGTCGAGGGGTTACACGCTCTTTTAGGAAGAGAGATGTCCTGAGTTCAAATCCAAGTTAAGGCATGTTTTTTTTGTTTTTTTTTAAATTGTTTAAGCCAAATAAACAATGCATTACATATCAGTGTTGCAATAAGCCTTATAGCCAATTTACTACAGTTATGATACTAGAAACAACATTGGTGGCACTATACAAAAACAAATTGGTTTACAATCTCACAGCCTCCACCTTTCTGACATTCTGAGACCCAAACGAATTCAGTGCCTTCTGTGATTTGATTTAATTAAACATGACCATGATATTGCAAAATTGTACCTAATGACTTGCTTATTATTAACAAAATATAAATATATATAAATTGTTATCAAGTAATGATACTTTTTAGCGATTTAGGTCATGACCTTGTTTTATTTTTTCAGGATGAAGCAAAAAGACATATCTTACTTCACTTAAACTAAAAGAAATAAAAAACAACAATAAACACAGCATTATATAACAACATTTTCTTTCTATAGAGCGCAACTATCTGATTCTGTGAAGATTGAAGTGTTTAAAATACTCTAGGTGATTTTAAATAGGACAATTACATGGAGGTTGTAAATGTTAAGCGTGATCTCTTGAAATATAGTGCACAAATACATATAAACATTAAAAGTAAGCATTACGATACATTGCAAAAGAGGTCCCTGGGTTCTCGTTTAAATTAATAAAATGTATAACTATGAAAAAAATCACTCACATTATAATTGAAATTAAATTTTAGTAATTTTTATTTTAGAATTATTACAAAGACAGAAATTGTGTGTGTACCGTATCTTTTGAAATAACAGTGTGTTCCGTACCATTTCAACATAACTTTATGAAACTATGCTAAAACATCACTGCATTCACTCGATACATTGGACATAGTAAATATATCAGATTTAACATGTATTTTTCTATGAAATAGTGTCAAAAAACATATGACTTGCTAGAAATTGCTTGTTATGGCAAATGAGTGTGTACCGTTCCCCTCGGCCCAGGCTATAAAAAGAAAACTGTACTCGAATGTTCTCAAAAAACCATTCAGGGGTTTTCAGAATTTTGATATACCGTGGATAGCTGATATATTTACGGGTACTCTGCGCCTTATCTGATCAAAATCGGTTGAGTAATAAATAAGCTGTGAATAAAAACATACCTGAATCGGGTGAAAAATCGGCGTGTTCCGTACCCAAAAAGTCACGTGGTATGGCCACATTGAATAAATCGAAAGAATTTTGTTAGTTTGGTATTAATAATAGGTAGTAATAAATGCCCAGCACCAACTGAAAAGTGACGATCAAGGAATTTATCATTTTGTGACATAGGTTGAAGGGAAAATGGAATTTAAATTGTAGATTATTAAAAGAAAATATTAATGAATTTGATGATGTTTTAAACAAATTAGCAAATAAAAGTCATCAATTTATCAAACTAATCCGTCTGATTCATACATATTTTTTATATTATTTGCAAATTAAGTGCGAATATCCTGAACGTTTGTCAATAGACCAATCTTATTGTCTTTTTAACAACATACTTTAATTTGTTTAAGGAGCGATTGCGAGTGTTTTGACGAACAGGTTTGGATGTCGAGCTACAACAATCATTGGTGCTACAGTAACCTCTCTGGGTTTCATACTAAGCGCTTTTTCACCAAGTCTTTACTTTCTCTATTTCAGTTTTGGCATACTTTCAGGTATATGAAATGTTACTTTTTACATCCTGTCAAGCATGATTTTTAATTACACTTTGCAAGTGCTTAATTCAAATAAAGCTTTGAACGAAATTTTAATTTCTAGATGATATCCGAATAAATTTGTCTCTTTTTTTTCTTAAACGTGTTATCACAAATCTATATGTCTTGTTTAGTGTATATTAATGCTCAAATATTAAACCATAAAAATAATATCATGTTATACTTTCTACCTCAGGTCTAGGTTTTGGTCTCACATATTTACCAGCTGTTGTTATCGTGGCTCATTATTTTGAAAGCAAGCGAACTTTGGCTATGGGGCTTGCGTCCTGTGGGAGTGGTATAGGAGCTTTTATTCTAAATCCCTTATCAAAGTATTTGATCGACGTTTATGGGTGGCGCGGAACATTACTCATTCAAGCGGGTATTCAACTTAATTGCATTTTGTGTGGAGCCCTATTTAGACCACTAACAAAACAAAATCAACCAGTACCTCAAGCTGAAAATACAGAGCGGAAATTCTTTACACAAAAAGAAAATTTTAACGACACAAATAACATTTTAGAAACTAATGAAGTATCATCATTAGAGTTAACACATTTAGCAAGAAGTCAGCAGAATGATACCGAGCATGAACTCTCCGACAGTGTGAACAGTTTGTGCCAGTACTCTTCTGTATCTAAGAAAAGACACAGCGGAGAACCAGCTTTTCATTCAGATAAACATGGTAAGGTTTACTTTTTAATCTATTCATTACTATTAGGCACTTTTTATATCTTAAGTGCTTTTTCTGAAAACTACTAATAATTTTAACATTTAGTTTTATTACTTATTTTTCATTGCAGAACATACTTCATGTCATTGCAAAGATGGACCATTGCAAACTTGTATAAGGGAGACCTCTTCTAGTCATAATTTCAGTAAAGATGAGATATTGAAGCATGAAGCGAAATGTTTAGGACATAATCTTTGTAGCATGATGTCAAAGTCGTGCAATTTATCCCAATTTAAAAATATGATGTTCATTGTTTACCTTATTTCAAACGCTTTAATAAGCTTCAGTCTTAATACACCTTTCATATTCTTATATGATCGTGCCGTTGAGATGGGCATATACACAGAAAGTGCAAAATGGTTGGGTTCCATCATAGGGATAACAAATACCGTTGGCAGAGTGTTTAGTGGGATTCTTGCTGACAAACTGAAGATAAATAAGATTATGCTATTCAGCAGCACAATTATTATTGTTGGCGTTTCAACTACCATTTGTCCACTATGCACAAACTTTACTTGGCTTGTCGCCTTCTCTTGCGTGTTCGGACTCTCCTTCGGTAAGCGCCTATATTACTTTTGTTGCCGTTAAAGATCAAATTAAACAAGCTTAATGATAGACAAATATATATGTAGATATTGATGTAAATAGGCTAGTAGAAACAGACATTTTTAAGCTAATTTGATAATTCTATCAAATGCCATTATCATATCGAAGATTTTTGTATTTCAGGTATATACGTTCCACTTATGTCTGTTGTGATTGTTGATATCTTAGGAAAGCAAATGTTAACAAACGCATTCGGTTTACTTTTGATGTTTAAAGGACTTGCTAATCTGATTGGCCCGCCGTTTGCGGGTAAATATTTGACTTACAAGTTTGTATATACACATGTTGAAACGTGCATTCTTGAAAAGGTAGCAGTTACATTTGGATGCCAACCAAAATTCTTGAGACCTCTGTTTTACCTCATTTATGTTTTTATATTTTTACCTGTTACCTTTCATTATCAATAATTTATGAATTCATGTAAATATCCATATATATATCTTTCTAGAATACATCTTATATTGAAGATTGATACCTTTGTTTGAAAAAAGAGCACTATTCATTCTTACTTCAGGTTGGCTTTATGACAAAACAGAAAGTTATAATGCAGCTTTCATTGTTGCTGGGATCAGCATAACGATTGCTGGAGTAATGTTAGCTTTAGTTATCTGTGTTACGAAACGCAAGCGTTACGACGGATGTGAAAGTGAAATGAAAATGACTAACTAACGAGAAACATTTCGTGCATGCTCTCATGCACCCACACAAGTGAACAAACGAAATATTTTTGCTTATTTGATGCCATCATACCTGTATTTAAATTGCATCATTTCTTGATTGAACTACGAAATGTTTATTATTCAGAGTTATAAATGTAAAACTAATGACCTGAATTTCTATATTCGGGAATTTTTGCGTCGATTGTAAAAAAAAAGATTATATTTGTTTGGTTTTATAGCCTTCACGTGAAAAGGGACTTTTTTAAATATGTTTTATGTGTCTCGTTAAAGCATGTGGATAGTACAATGGACGTTTACGTGTATGTGACTGTTGGTGAACATTTCGTTGCGTTTTCGTCTACTCAGATGTTCTGATACATTGACCGACCTATGCATCCACCCCTTATGTTATCATACTTCTACTTGTGCACCAGATGGAACTATAGGTTTGCCTTCCAGATAAACGTCTAATGATTAGTCCGTCCAAATCTTAAGCCACATAAACTATATGAAGCGCAGTATCTTTCTTTGAAAGTTCACCATTGTTAGCTGGATTGTCGCGCGCAAAATTCAGGTGCCAGCGGTTAAGGTCAAGGTCATAAATAGGCGTCAAAGTTCAAATTAAAATATGAAATTGTGTATAGGGACCATTTAGTCATCATTTATTGAGGGATTGTTACACAAATGGTCATTGTCATGACTACATCGGTGACACTTGTAATAGGTCAATATATGCAATTTCACCATTTTCGTGTTAAATGTTGAATTCTGCTTAAGCCGGTGCTAGGGGGCTTGGACGGTAACTTGCACTTTCCAGTACCGTCAATCAAACCGAGCCTGCAACATTTTAAATTTTGTCGCGTTGGACTTTCTTTAGGGATTCTGTTTTTCTCTATTTAATAGAAATGTTCACCACTTTGAGAAGCTGTGTCGCGCGCATGAACAGGGCTCATTTAGAGGTCATTGAAAAAGCTTGTCCAGAGCAAACCTTCTAAATGCAGGGAGTGATTTTAATTGAAATTGGCATAGATGTGTGGTTTGCGAAATTCAGGTCCACATGGTCTAGGTCAAAAATAGGGGTCAAAGTTCTTATAAAAATATGAAAACGTGTCTAGGGACCATTTAGTCATCATTTATTGAGGGATTGTAACACAAATGGTCATTATCATGGCTACATATGAGACACTTGTAATTAAGGTCAAGTATGTATGGTCAAGGTCACTAAAGATGATGAAATATCTGAACTTTGATTGGAATATATCTGCTACACGCCTGGAGGAATTTGAATGAAACTTCATAGAAACGTTCACTTCTATGAGAAGCTATGGCGCGTCTATGAACCAGGTCTGTAGGTCAGATGCCAAGGTCGCACATACAGATCATTCAAAAACACTTGCCTTGAGCATAATTTCTACATGCATAGACGGATTTTAATTTAGCTTTGTACACATTTTGTGAGGCAGAGTATCAAGCCCAAAATTCAGGTCTTTGCGGCTAAGGTCAAAATCACACATAGGGTCAAATTTCAGATGAAAAATAGGATGTGTATAGGGACCATTATGTCATAATTTATTGAGGGATTATAACACAAATGGTTATTGTCAAGGCCACCGTCATGAAATTTGTATTTTAAGTAATGTATCATGGTCAAGGTCACTTATGATAATGAAATATCTTGATATTGTCCGGAGCATATCTCCTACATGCATGAAAGATTTTTTATTATATTTTATGGAAATGTTTACCACCATGAATGGGATCGTTTCAGTTCATCCAGTTCAAAGGTCATCAAGGTCACACTTAGAGCTTATTGCTATGCATATCTTTAATGCCCACATGTCCACACTTGACCTGATAGAATTGTTTACTAATGTCTCATACTTAACCTTACAAATAATATCATATCATTTCTACTTAATGCTGGCATATTAACAGGCAAGTTAACAATCAAGTAATTTTATACAAGAAGTAGCGTACTGACGCAATTTCATATAAATGATCGCATTTTCAGCTGCCTGGTTATGTTAAGACATTACGTTATATGCTAATGTTTGGTTTTGTCACGGCAATGTTTCCTCATAAAACACCAGTACTGGTTACTTGCATGATAACTGTTTCTAATTATCACAATCGAGTTGAGATAAATAGGTTAAAAGAAAGTATGAATATACTGCAACATTGAGGTCGTGCTTATGCAAAATATTTGATGTAATGATTGCATAGTGAATGTGCAATGTAAATGTAGATATGATTTCACAGTCTATTTTGTAAGTGTAAAAAGAAAGGATAACATATATGACAAGCAAAAAATAAATATAATTAGTCTGCAATTATATTTTTAATTCATATATATAAAAAATGATGTCGCTGGTCATAATGTCAGGTCGAATAAGCTATTGACTTGTTCGAAGTTGGTATAAGTAGTCACAATCGGGTAGTGATGTTAAGTCTTACAATTAATTATTTTCATTAAATTTGACCGTGTATTGAGAATGAATGCAATATTTTTCTGGATTATATGTATGGTCATCAAAAATGTTTTCAGTCTTGCTCTGCAACTTTTCTTACACTCTTTCGCCTCTTATCGTGTATTTGCTCATGTTTATTTTCCCAAAATATGCATGTTTTGTTAGATTATGACCATCTGCCGTGAACGTTTCATATATCATTTTTGTCGTAACATTTTCTTAACAACTTCATATGTGCTTTATAAAAACAGTTTAAACTGGCATATGCATAATATTTTGTAACCCTGCTTCTTAAACATTTCATTGAGCTATAGTATATCCAAAAATAAGACATTGTTTAGATAGCTTGAGGAAAGCAACAAATCGTGTCATTCCTTGTCATTACTATGAAAATCAGGATTGTGACTTTCAAAGGTGTTCTTGTTTAAAAAAATGACCAATGTTGGACAAAATCCATCTTGAGTCATTCACACATTGTGATGTTCTGCATGTGTGTTTCTTATACTTGATAAACATAACAGCAATGCACCAGACTGATGTGGACAGATCATTAGATGGGTATTGTTACACAACGATGAACAGCAGCATTTAAAATAATAGAAAAGAAAGGCGACACTCTCAATGATTTGGAAAATAATGCGAATACAACTGTATCGCCAGATGGTGGATAGGAGGGTAATGTTTGATTGCTTATTTATCTACTTAATAACTGATGGATTACGTCAGAGATGTAGATATATGCGTACTCATTTGGAATAGGGTACCTTGAATTCCTTAATTATTTTGACAGCGCTAAAGGAGAAACAGACTGGATAGGTTCATTGGAAACAGGACTCCAGCATTTAACTGGTAAGAGGTTATTGTTAACACTTTTGCGTGTTACTTTTATTATCATACTGGTTATTAGTGTTTGAAATGAAAATGAATAAATCTAATTCAAAAGAAAGAATTTATAAACATATATCACTGAAATTAATAAAGAATTAAGAAGTATACAAGTAAAATGATTTCCTGCGGGGAACATTTTTAATAATATAAAGATATTTCATTTAACTATTTTCAACATTGTTTCAGGGAATAAATAAACGTTTGTATCAGGAATATAGTTGACAATAATCGATCAATATAGAAGAAGGTCTTTGGAAACTAGTGACCGTTGAAGACCTGAGACCGGAGAAGGTCGAACATAAAACAATTATTTCTTTTCAAGAAAATGATTAAATACCATTTTCTGAATAATTCCGAGCAAAAAAATTAAAGTAAACACATAAGTTTACGCAGAAAATATCTCTATTTGGTATGGCAGATGCCACTACGAATATTTTAATTTTGTAGATTTTCAGTATAAACAATTTATTGTTTGTAAAATTTGAGATAGATATTAAAGAAACATTGATAATTTTCAAACACATCATTCAAGTTTTTCCACCTTAAACGGTAAAATAATTATAGAAAATTAGAAATATCACGTAATAGTTTTTTGTTGTTAATAAGGTGTAATTCGGACTAATTCCCTAGAGGTAAATCCGTAACGTACCGGCAAACGGTATTTAGCTAGGTTTTCGAAAAGGTCAATTAACCAATCATGTGCGGTTTACAGATCACATGCTCCTCCATGTACCGAAAACAGGTCACGTGCTCCTCCATGCCTCAAAAGTTAAACGCGTACCAATACCCTGCGGTCTTCAGACCGCAGGGAGACCGCAGGGAATGAAAATGTAGTTCGTTAATTGATATTAATAATAAGTAAGAGTAGAGAGGTACAGCAAAACAATAATAGGTAATACCTTTAGTAATAAAATAAACAACTAAATGTTGACAGTTGAAAAAAACCCATGAACATTAGCGAGTTTATCTTGCATATCAATTTATGACCTACAGTATATGGAATTCCGCAAGAAATGTTATTTAAAAAAAACAAGTTGGTCTAAAAGGTCTTGTAAACAATGAAGCAAATTAGGACTATCAATGTTTGACATAGGCATTAAACTATTCCCGTCTTTTCAAACAGAAAAGTATCTTAAAAATACAAAAACGTACAATTAAATTGTCTTTCAAATGATAGAATTTAATTTGTTTCAGGACCCATGGCCGGTTTTTTGACGAACAAGTTTGGATATTGAGCTTCACCAATCATCGGTAGTTTAGTAGCCTCTCTTGGCTTCTTGCTAAGCACGTTCTCTCCTTGTATTTAAGTTTTAGAACACTTTCAAGTAATTTTTTTTGTCTTTTACGTTTCATCAATTTTAATACCATTTGCAATTTTGATGTTTATGAAGTTAAGTGACATAAAAAAATTGTGATTCTATCTTATCATTTGATTATCATACTTTCAATAAATGTCCATATCTTTCTCGAAAATGTGTCGAATCAATTTATCATGAAATTATAAATAGTATATGCAAACGTGTTTTGCTCTATTAAGGCGACAACAGACACTTTCAATATATTTCCATTATTGTGATTTAAAACATTTTTGTAATAATTGTTGTTTATTTAAATTGCATGCATGACAACAACAACAACAACAACAACACAAACAACAGCAAGATGACTTTGATATTTCATGCATGACAACAACAACAACAACAACACAACCAACAGCAAAATGACATTGATACGTCGATTTAAAATTATACCATTTTTGTTCAAAAACAATTATTTACAAAGGCATTTGTTCAAAAATGTTTGCTTTTTTATTAAAATAATTTCAATAAATTTATAAAATTATTACTATAAAAAGCTGGTTTGAATGACATTTATGGAGGTACCACAGAAAGTGACTAAAGCCAGATGGCAATATTAAAAAAAGTGTCATACTAGTAATATTGAATCTTATTTTGTCACGATTTTTAAGCTCAGGTTTCGGTCTGACATATCTTCCAGCTGTTATTAGCGTTGCTCGTTATTTTGAAGCAAACTTTGTCTATGAGGCTCCTGTCATGTTGGAGTAGTATTGGAGCTTTTATCAAATATTTGATCGATGTAAATGGGTGGCGCGGAACTTTACTCATCCAATCGGGTATTCTTCTTCATTGCATGTTGTCTGGAGCTTTATTCCGACCACTTGAACAACAGAATCAGCAAGTACCTAAAAAGGATACAGAAAGCAAAGTTTTACCACAACGGGTAAATTGAAGAATCGGAGCCAAAAGACGCAGGAAAGCGCAATTAGTTCCAAGAAAGAAGTATCACTATTCAAGCTTGCAAAGTAAATTGTGATCGATGTTTTACTTTAAATGATACTGTTTTCTAAGGCATAAATGTTTATATTTGTATATAGAAAAAATATGCTTTTGTTTATATTTATCAGTTTAGTACAATGTATAACATAATAATAGGAATATAATTTTCATGACTACATCGTATGTCGGAGATTGGTATTTCTGTATAACTGATAAATATAAAGAAATGTGTTCGGTATAATAACAGGTTGGCTTTCTATTTGTATGCGTGTTTAGTTGTATATACATTGATGAGACTGGGAATGAAGAATACATATGTGCGATTGGGGTGGTTGTGTCATATTTTAAAATCTGAGGTTGAAAAGTGTTATTTTCTTGACTTTCAAGTGCTGTTTATAATACCTTTTTTTACGGAATGCCGTTAGGGCCATCGCCTATGAATGTGTTGATCTGAAACGCGATAGTCGATAGTACGATGGTGAAAACGCGAAATCACGAAACTACGATGGTGAAAACGCGAAAGTACGATGATGAAAACGCGATAGTACGATGATGAAAACGCGACAGTACGATACTACGATGATGAAAACGCGATAAACTTTCGTGTTTTCACCATCGTACTGTCGCGTTTTCACCATCGTAGTTTCGTGATTTCGCGTTTTCATCATCGTACTGTCGAGTATCGCGTTTCAGATCAAACCATTCATAGGCGATGGCCCTAACGGCATTCCGGAATGCCGTTAGGGCCATCGCCTATGAATGTGTTAATCTGAAACGCGAAAGTCGATAGTACGATGGTGAAAACACGAAATCACGAAACTACGATGGTGAAAACACGATAGTACGATGATGAAAACGCGATAGTACGATGATGAAAACGCGATAGTACGATGATGAAAACACGACAGTACGATGGTGAAAACGCGATAGTACGATGATGAAAACACGACAGTACGATGATGAAAACGCGATAGTACGATGGTGAAAACGCGATAGTACGATGATGAAAACACGACAGTACGATGATGAAAACTCGAAATCACGAAATTACGATGGTGAAAACGCGACAGTACGATGGTGAAAACACGATAGTTTATCGCGTTTTCATCATCGTAGTATCGTACTGTCGCGTTTTCATCATCGTACTTTCGCGTTTTCATCATCGTACTTTCGCATTTTCACCATCGTAGTTTCGTGATTTCGCGTTTTCACCATCGTACTATCGACTATCGCGTTTCAGATCAACAAATTCATAGGCAATGGCCCTAACGGCATTCCGTACCTTTTGGATTATTTAACATCACATTGTATTTTGCATAGGTTAGTGTTAATAAGCATTAACAAAATTTGATTGCTAACCAATGTAATGTTTGAAATTATTTTTATAAACAGTCAATTTACTTGACTGATTAATAGTCAGCCGATTTACTAAAGTAAATGTGTTATTTGAAATACTGTCTATCTAGTGTACAAAAAATAATGTTAGATATTTAAATGGACATTACAAGTGAAATTTTTAAGGCATACAAATACAACAGCCACGAGACAATTGTATCAAACTAAATTAAATTCAATGATTCTAGAGCCGAATCGATTCGAAATTACATCCGGAATCACGTGTCCACACAGTTTGCATTTTTCATTTACAAGAAGTAGCGAATAATGATTGATATCGATGATGTTTGTATCGATTTATTCAGGGAAATATACATAAACACATATATAATCATATATATCAACATGCATATAAAACATGCAAACATGCAACAAAAATAATTATTAAATCAAGTAGTATGTTTTAAGTTACTCAAGGATTGCCCATTAAGCTAAAAGCTTATGTCCAATTACTGTGATATTAATAAAATACAATAAATTACATTATGATAAATCATTATTAAGTTAAAATTAATGAAATAATTTTGCCAATATTGTTCTACAATCAAATTTTTGTTAAAGGTATGTAGAGAATCCAATTTGAGATCTAGTCATTTTATGTTTGTTTTGCCACAAAATGATTCTCATGTTACAAACATGTTTTTTTCAACAATGCTACAAAAGACGGGAATTCTTTACCGGTCAATCGAAAATATATTATAAACGTTTAAAGCTGCGTGCCTCCAGATGAGCAAAAATATTTCAATAAGATCAAACCCGAGAAAAATGTACTTTGACTTTAGGAAATGTAAAAAGATTCAAGATTTTAGTAATTATTTACATGTTTTATGCGATTTATGATACATTTTTCAGTATGTTTAAGCATATTTCTACTGCGTTACTAACGCAGTGAAGACTATTTCCGAATATTTTGACCTCATTTTGGTAACTTAGATTGGTTGTGATGGCTGTTTCAAGTGTTTGTAATGTATATATCATATCGATAAATGTGTCTTGATTGTAGTACAATGATCTTAAGATATTGAATGTCAATGATAGAGTTGGGCAGTTAAAACTGAACCACACTTTAACAACTATCAGACAGAACATAATTTGTCACAGAATTCCTCGGGGTATAGTGTTTTATAAAACGTACCACCTTACTTTGAGCTACTTGAAGTTTGTGTTTTTATATTTAACTTCATACGAAGATCTTATTGTTTGATACCTTATTGTTTGATCAATACATGGAATATAAATTGTTTGTATTTTTTTAAATTTTTGATCAGAACCAAACAGCATACATTCAGTCTTGCCAAGGCGAATAGGTAATTTATTGTCAACTAGCCATTCAGCGCATCGTTCCAAAACCTTTCCAAATTTTGTGGCTATAAGTTTTGGATCCTTGTGCGAAAACAGTATTGTACAATCATTTGCATATAATATGTAATAGGAATTGAGTCTGAAACAGCTTTACCAATAACCAATACTTTCTTTTTGAAACCTTCCTGACAAGTATGATTTAAACCAAGAAATAGATTTGACGCCTAATAGATCTTATTCATCACATAAAATATTATGATTGACCCTTTCAAATGCTTTTTGATAGAGACGAAAATATATTTTCATGATTACTTTCCCTATTCAATGTTAAACTGCAGTTCTGAATAGATATAAATCGTATTTACTCAGTTGTAACTGAAGGCTCTTAGCATTTTTAAATGAAAATTGAAATTTTACTTGTTCCACTTTCCTTAGATATTGATAATAAAAAATTAAGATGAAATATCTATTTATTTATAAGTGTAACTCTACATTTTACAGCTCGAATTCGCTTTTCCTTTTACATTGTATTATCTGTTCAGCGTAATAGTGTAATGGAAGGTTTGTGCGTGTAGAGACCCTGGTTCGAATCCTGGAAAGAGCATTTTTTTTTTTTTAGATTTTTTTACAACGAATTAGATTTTAGTTCTCATGAATTTCATTCACATGATGAAATTCGAGAACATTCTGTGTTATCAACAGGTAAAGTAAAAGACAGCACAGCCGTGATTAGGATGATAAATGATCAAATAATGTAATAAAAGATATAAAATTATGTATATAAATTCAGCCAAATTTTAAAAAATGTGGCGGATGGCATTTAGAGTTTTAAACAGAATAAAATTGATAATACTTTTCAATCCGTTCAATGACAGTTAAAATAAAATACATTCAACTTTGCTTAACCGTCATAAGTCTACCTTTAATTTGTGCAAACATTAAATACTAAGTAAATGACAGGTTCATAAAGAGAAAATGAAAAGTTACTTGACGCACTGTAAAAAATATATTCTGAAAGTAAACACAATACTAAAAGATGTGCACAATTGCATATTTGAACTCGAAAAAAACCATTTTCATAACGACAGCTCTTCATAAACTGGACTATCTAAACATTACGCTACTCGGATTTACGTGCCCATCTTCTATATGTATATTGTAATCAAAGGGCAAAATATAATGATTGAATAACTTGTTAAACCTATTACATCACAATGGTACGACCGATTAAAGAAAACCTATTCGTGTCCGATAATATATATTCAATATGTGTCAAATAAAAGATAATATATTTTTGTCAACACCATCTGGGACTTTAAAATGTTTGTCAACACCATCTGGGACTTTAAATGTCTCTAATTCTAACCAAAGTAATGGATTTCGATAATGCTAAACATATTTCGTTTAGTAATTTGTGGGCTAATTATACCCAGAAAAAAAGATATAGGAGGAACATTTTTAGTGGAATTGAACCGAAATGTCATTATGTTACAGTAGTGGTGTTCATTCATGGTGGGATCATGTGACTGAGATGATTTGTACAAAATGGCGGATGAGTAGAAAAGAAAGTAAAAACCAAATTTCCATAAATGTCTCACAATTAACAATAAGATGAAAACGAAGACCACAAAATTTATTTTATATTGTTGTAAATATGGCGAATGACTTTAAAACCTCAAGTAGAAGCGCAAAATTTCCCGATGAAGAAAGTCGACTAATGTCTGAAAGAGAAAGTGAACCATCAGGAAGTATTAATAATACAAAACGTGTACGCAATGAACTACAACTAAATGTCGCTAGTGTTTGTTCGGCAATAGGACCAGAAAAGTCAGATTTGACAAGAACTAAACTTACGAAATTTGATATGCCGCATAAACAAGGAAACGATGATACACAAACGTCTAATTACCTTGATTTTCAGTGTGAACCATTTACACAGACAGCAGAACCTGAGCATGGGGAAATTGTTTTCGGCCATCATACCAATAGATCTAAAACCAATGAAGGCTATATGAGTGAAGCAGCCACCAAATCTGTTTCAAAATCATCACAAAATACAAATATTTATTGTGAAGACTGCCAGAAATTAGGTCCAAAATCTCTAGATACAGATAGTATCATGTCTGAGTCTAATATACCATGTGACTGCAGTTTGGTAAGCACAAGTGGACACAAAAGTTTACCAATATTTCCATCCCAAGACAGATTGAATGGAATATTGACGCCAAATAACATATATTTAAAGAAACATAAAAGCATACCATACCTGCATTCAGCACTTTTAAAGCAGAATGACAACGTAAAATTAAAAGATGTTGAACAAAGCGAAAAAGTTAAAAATAAAATTATGTCTGTTTGGAATAATGTTAGATATGGTAAGTTAATATACTTTTGTAAATTTTTTATGTATTAAAATCATTGAGGACAGGTAACTGCACAGTACTAGTCTACTATACTAGTATTAATCAGACTTACCTTATATACCTTCCACTCTCATAACATTAAAAATAAGGGTTTTATTTTTATTAACTCTTTTCCATGTTGAACAGTTTACACAAAGACATAATTTTTGTCCAATTCAAATGATATCCAAGTGATTTTTTTGCAATTTTCAAATCAACCTGTGGCTTTCTGAAGGGAAAAATATAGCACAGTTACTCAGAAAATGGGAAATCCTGAAATCAAATTCCAACAACTAAGATTGGAATTCATCCACATATTTTAGAATTTTTTAAATTTCTATTCATTTTAACATGCATGGCACCAGGGTCTTTCAAACAGAATGATCTGGAAACACGCTATGTAAACTCTTCTCGCTACAATTAAACATGTCTCAGTATAACTTGGTATAGTTTGCTATAAGTAAATTATGTTTAACAAGTGTTCAAGAAAAAGACCGTGACGAAAATTAAATACAAGAGCACAAATGAAAAATTTAACATTTGACATGATGTTATTTAAAAAACTTTAAACTTGTGAAAAAAGGATAAATATTTCAGAAAATAATGTTTTTAAAGTCATCATTGGCAGGTGACACATGATCACTGATCGCTCTTGTTTTAATCAGTATTATTTTAGGTTATATAACAATTATTTTGTATTGCATATTATTTATAAACAATCATTATTTTAGGTTGGACACTAAAAACCAAGACAAACTTTGGAAAAGACAGCCCAATATTTTTGCTTGGATGCTGCTATCATAAACGACCTGAGGGTAACTTTTAAAATATTAAATTTTTTGTACACCATTTTCAAGAAATAAAATAAATATATAAATATTTATATGAAATGAGGCTTTAGACCAATACAAATTTGAAAGTCATCATTTTCAGTAAGTTGTGTTGTTCTATGCTAGGGCTGTCATTGATGAAAAATGTTGTATCGATATATTGAGAGACAAATATTGACGATATATAGACTTTGACAGTAGATACAATGAAAAACATTTTAATAATAATATGTGTTATAAATTGGGATGATGGCAGGGCCAAAAAACCCTTCTTTGTAGAGGCCGAATATAGGCTGCTTCCCAGACTAAACTAGCCTTTTTTTTTCCCCAGTTTAGTCCTCAAAATTCCCCAGTCTTTTGAAATTTCCCATATAATTTAGAACAAAGTTAAATGATGGTGTTGAATTAAGGTCTTTTACTGCCTTATTAGTATTTCCCAGTGCTTTTTGCTTTTCTATTTTGAAGAACTTGTTAAAAGTTTGTGTTGAATTTGAGACCCCTTTTCCAAAAGTATGCCAAAATCATGCATATTTTCCCCAAGAAAAAGGCTGAGGCCCCTTCCCCAAAAATGGTGTTTTGGCCCTGGATGGCGTTATGCATGCTTGTAATACACATTACAAATACTACAAACTAACAGAAAGTTTTTTTCTCTGTTATTCTTGTCACTGACATTTGAAAACGGTGTTTAAAGTTCAAGTTAGCCAAGAAAAGTAGAAAAAATTGACTTCTCTTATAAGCCAAAATAGAGAGATATATTCACTAACAAAAATAATTTTTTTTATTAGCTTGTATTGATATGTGAGTGTGTATCGATATTGTATCGGATTATGAATATCGATGATATCGCATATATTCAGAGACAGCCCTATTCTATGCATGTACATGTACTAAAGTGCTCAAGGGTGAGCTTCTGGGATCACTCTGTGTCAGTCATGTGTCGTTAATGGCATCAAACTTTTTCTTAAGGTAGTATACCCCTTATGCATCACCTCCGCTTCGAAGAGTATTCAAGTATGCTTCAATTGCATTGAAACTGAAGGGTGTGGATTCAAACCCCAGAAGGGGCATTTTTTTTTCCATTTTTAGATTGACTATTCACAGAATAATCAAGCTAATGCAGTCAACCCATTTGTCGGCGTCAGCATCCCTGTGGTTAAGTTTTTTTCTGTAAGCTGGTATCTCCATAACTACTGATGGGAATAGATTGAAACTTCACACACTTGTTCTCTGTGATTATCTAACTTGATTAGCACAAGTCCCATAACTCTGATTGCTTTTTTGCATAATTATGCCCCTTTTCCGACTTAGAAATTCTTGGTTAAGTTTTTGCGTGTAAGCTGGTATCTTCAGAACTACTGAAGGGAATGGATTGAAACTTCACACACTTGTTCTCTGTGATTATCTATCATGATTGTTACAAGTCCCATAACTCTGTTTGCTTTTTGCATAATTATGCCCCTTTTTCGCCTTAGAAATTCTTTGTAAAGGTTTTGCTTGTAAGCTTGTATCTCCATAACTACTGAAGGGTTTGTGCCTTTTTTGGGACAATTTTATGCATTCATAATAATAAAGCAGTTATTTACTCGATAAACATCTTAATTACAAGCCTTTGTATCTTTGACAATTTTATGTATTCATATAGGTAAGCATTATTATACTGGATGAAACACCCTTGTGACAACTTTTCGAATAGTCGAGCGTTACTGTCCTCCGACAGTTCTTGTTTTTTCTTAAAACTACATAGTAAAAGTATTTTATATTTTGCAAGATCAACCAATATACTTTTAAGAAAATTTAAGCAATCTTTGAAAACAGCCCCTCATTGTGGTAAAGTTTAGGGATATTTTGAATTAGGGAAATTAACTAATATGTGTTTAAAGTGGACAGGGAAGGGTAACATTTTTATACATATTAAAACATTTTGTGTAGAAACGATTATTTTGCTTGTGTGATTTGTTACCTGAATGCTAGTATTTTATTTTAACAATGATCAGTTTTTCATAATGACGATATAGTAGATTATTTATAGTTTCTCATTTCTGAAAAAGAGCCCAAATTAGTTCAGAGAAATGTCCATAACTCGTAAAACATACAGTTAATTTTGTTAAAAGTGTTCATACAGGGTAGATGTGTCCTTTAAGGCATATAACTGTCCAATATTGTCAATTTTACAGTTTCTTATAAAGCCCATCAGGGGTGTCCTACCTTAAAGCAAAATCGCCTATACAAATGTACCAATAGGCTGACTATTGTTAAAACTGAGCAGGAATGTTTGAAGTTTCTGGCATTTATTGGTACATGTAAATATCTTGCATTGTTTAGATGATGAACCAGAGCCGGGAGAAGTAAGTCACTGTCCACCAAGCATGGAACTGTTCAAGCAAGACTTTCAGAGTCGTCTTTGGTTTACTTATCGGCGAGGATTTCAGATGTTACACCAAACAAAGTTTACAACAGATTGTGGCTGGGGATGTATGTTACGGAGCAGTCAGATGATGTTAGCTCAAGCGTTGATTTGCCATTTTCTCGGCAGAGGTATTTTATATATTGTGATATTGCTTACTTACATGTATATCTAAGTTACATGTATATTCTCTATTGTCAAAGACTTGATGTGCCCCTCTGTGCGTATTTAATTACAGTTTGAGATGTGATTGTAAAATGTATGTGGTTCTACTCAATGGAAGCTTGAACCTGAAATCATGCACAGAGGGGTACATAATGGTCTTCTTCCACCAGTATTGGAGAAAATACCCATATGACCTTATCAGTAGAAAAGTGACCAAAAATAATTGTCCCATAAGATTAAATACAATGTATCAGTGGGAATAAATTTAGGATTGTTATTTCATTTCTATACTAGATACTAGTATACTCAACATCACTAATTTTGCATCATCACTTATTTCACGGTAATGGCATATTTCCATGTCATGACTAGTGTTAAAATTGGTCTAAAGAGACATATTGTAGACATACACCTAAACAACAAAGTTTTTGTGCAAAATATTTGAAATCTGTAGTTTAAAAAGCCACAATAGTCAATAAAATGTGCACATATGTCTGAAACAGTCATCATTTTCTAAATGTTCTTGTTTGTTGAAAAAATAAATTTTGAGTTTCAAAGTAAAGATAGTTTTAATATTTAAAATTGAGCGATGTAACATTTACTAATTAAAACTGAAATATGAAAAAAAAACTTGAGTATTGAAATTTTAGTGTACATATCGTTTTAAAATGGCAGTCCTATGATCTATGTCTTGACCATTCTATCTGATTTTTGATTGATTATGATGTTGTTTTCTTGTATCATACAACATAAAAATGATAAAATACCAAAATGTTACAGGTAATAACAATTTTTTTGTACCGTAAGTTCATTGTTTTACGTCTTGTTTTAAAGTGTTAAGTATGGTGAACTAAGAGGAACACAGTATACTTGTTTTTTTTATGCCACCGCAGCATCTGCGATGCGGTGGCATATAGCGATTCACCTGTGTGTGTGTGTGTGTGTGTGTGTTTGTTTGTGTGTGTGTGTGTTATATAGATTATATAGTGAACTTAAAAAATCTTCTTGTGAAAAACCACTAGTCCAATTTCAACCAAACTTGGCAGGATTGATCCTTGGGTGAAGGGCTTCCAAAGTTGTTCAAAGAATTTCATTCCATGCAGAAATCTGGTTGCCATGGCAACCAAAAGGAATTATAAGAATAAATTTAAAAAATCTTCTTATAAAGACCCAGAAGGCCTAGAGCTTAGATATTTTGCATAAGGCATTGTCTGGTAGACCTCTACCAAGATTGTTCAAATTATAGCCCTGGGGTCAAAATCGGCCCCGCCCCGGGGGTCATTGATTTTCACTATATGTACATATAGTAAAAACTGAAAATACCTTCTTGTAAAGACCCAAAAGGCCCAGAGCTTAGATATTTTGCATAAGGCATTTTCTTGTAGACCCTTACCAAGATTGTTCAAATTATAGCCCTGGGGTCAAAATCGGCTCCGCCCGGGGGGTCTTGAATTTCACTATATGCACATATAGTAAAAACTTAAAATACCTTCTTGTGAAGACCCAAAAGGCCTAGAGCTTAGATATTTTACATAAGGCATTGTGTAGTGAACCTCTAGCAAGATTGTTCAAATTATAGCCTTGGGGTCAAAATCGGCCCCGCCCCTGGGGTCATTGGTTTTCTTTATATGTATATTGTAAAAAACTTACAGTAAAAACTTTAAAAACATTTCTTCTAGCAATTGACAAATGCTAGAGGTTAGATATTTTGCGTGAAACATTATGTAGTGAACCTCTAGCAAGATTGTTCAAATTATAGCCCTGGGGTCAAAATTACCCCTGCCAGGAGGGTCAATGATTTCCAATATATACATATAGTAAAAAAGAATAAAAATCTTCTTGTCTGAAGGTACAAGGCTTAGAGCTTTAATATTTATTAAATGATATCATATATAGGTACTCTACCAAAGTTGTTCAAATTTTGCCTCTAGTGTCAAAATTAGCCCCGCCCCGGGGGCCATAGGATTTCCTTATATGTGTATAGTAAAAACTTAAAAAATCATCTTCTCTAAATTTACAAAGGCGAGAGTTCAGATATTTTGCATGAAACATTGTATAGTGAACCTCTAGCAAGATTGTACAAATTATAGTCCTGGTGTCAAAATTGGCCCCACCCCCAGGGGTCATTGATTTTCACTATGTACATATAGTGAAAAATCAAAAAATCTTCTTGTCTGAAGGTACAAGGCTTAGAGCTTTGATATTTGGTATATAATATCATCTATGGGTCCTCTACTAATGTTGTTTTAATTATGCCCCTAGTGAAAAAATTGCCCTGCCCTAGAGGCGATAGTTTTCCTTATATGTATAAAGTAAAAACTTGAAAAAAATCTTCTTCTCTGAATTGACAAAGGCTAGAGGTTAAATTTATGGCATGAGACTTTGGGAAGTGAACCTCTACTAACATTCTTCAAATTATATCCCTGGGGTCAAAATTGGGTCCACCCCGGGTTCATTGATTTTCATTATGTACATATAGTAAAAAAAATAAATAAATAAAAACTATTTTTGTCTAAAGGTACAAGGCATAGAGCTTTGATGTTTGCTATATAATATCAACTGTAGGTCCTCTACCAAAGTTTTCAAATATTTCCCCTGGTGTCAAAATTGGCCCTGCCTGGGCGCAGTGATTTTCATTAAGTACACATTATTAAAACAGAAAATAAAACAAATGTTTTTCTGAATGGGAGAAAGCTACAGCTTAGATATTTGACTTGAAATGTTGTTTGGTGGAACTGTATCAAGATTGTTTTGAATTAAACCCTTAGCTCAAAATTTTGCCTTGCCCAAGGGGACAGTGACCTACTTTCTTGTCCTTTGATGAACAGCAATGAAATTTTGACCATGTGCAAAGTTTTAGTTGTAAAATTGAACTTTTATATCAAGTGACCTAGATTTTGATTATGTGACCTACTTTCTTGTCCTTTGATGTACAGCTATGAAATTTGAACCATGTGCACAGATTAAGATGTAAAGAGAACTTTGATATCAGCTGACCTAGATTTTGACAAAAGTGTCTTTCTGTGTTGTCCTTTGATGTAGTCATGAAATTAGGCTGTCGTCTGCTTATCTTTCTGCAAGGGAATGCTAGCAGTTTATAGTAATATAATCATCCAGACAATAATATACGAGGTTAATAAAAGACCCGTTCTTCAACAGTATTTGTTCCTACACTTCTATTTAGTGTTGTATTAATGCGGTGGCATAGCATTTTCTAAAATGCAATCTTGTTTTTTGTTGATTACAGACTGGAGGGTGCATAATCAAACCAAAGAGCAAGAAACATTTTATCGTCAAATTATTAAATGGTTTGGTGACTCACTAAGTGACCAGTGTCCATTTTCTTTGCATCATTTGGTAGAGTATGGAAAGGTGTATGGGAAACAAGCAGGAGAGTGGTATGGGCCATCATCTGTTTCTTATATCATCAGGTTTGTACATTTGTATATTTCTCTTAACCAACACAAATGTGTAAGGTCATGGTTTGATGTTGGGGCTATGTGATTAATTACATTTTAGGCTATTACACAACCAATTATAAAACAATTGAAAGATTATATGACTGCTGTAAATAAATGAAATGCTTTTCAATTTTCCCCTATTATAGGTATTGTGCTGTATTATAACTAATTGATAAAGATTTTTGATAGGTTACTTATAGGTTTGGTATATATTGTGGTTATAAAGCTGGGTATAAAAGGTTTTTTGCAATATAATCCTTATATTTACCAAGTAGTTTAGATTATATTGTCCACTAGGCCATATATTCTTTCAAAAATCTTTCTAACTAATGTAAGAGTAATGATATGGCCGAGTGGTTAACATGTCAGACTAGTAATCTAGGTATCCCTAGGCATGTTAAGCAAGCCATTGTTTCCATAAGCAAGAAACTACTCGTACACTCATTGCTTAGTCCTAGTTGGAACCAGGAATGAATCTGAGACCTATAAGCCCATAGCTTCCGACATAATCCAACTTGAATTCTTTTGTTTAAACTAATACATTTGTAAAGGCTTTACAATTTTTGTCAAATGCACAATGCATTTTTTTCCTCTGATATGAACATCCATGTTTATTTCTTTCAGAGATGCTGTGGTCAAGGCTTCATTTTCACAGCCAGTTCTGAAAGATCTGTGTATATACGTTGCCCAAGATTGCACTGGTATGTTTCATTTAAACTTAATGTTTTTCAAAAATGTTAATATTGTTGATACTTATAGGCTATCCTGAATCCTCATTTTCTTGCATTGAGAGACTTAAAGGCTGAAGTTGTGTATGTCTTTGACTTTGAGGTACATGCACAGCATTTCATCTACTGTGAGTTTTAATACTGCAAGGGACTTTGTAGTCTTTCATGTGAGTAATCTATTCAGGTATATTAAAGGTCAGTGGTTTTACCTGAGGGGCACACTTAAAATTATACTGAAAAGGTGTCTAGTCTACCATCTTCTGCCAGTGAAAAAATACCATATGAGCTGCTCTCTTTGCAACTTTGACCTAACAAAATGATAAAATTATGGCCTTTTTGTTTTTAATAGCCCAGAACTGCTGAAACCATGATTCTCTATTAAAATTTAAATTTTATACTGATTTGTATTTCTTTTTGCCACATTAATTTAGCCATATTTTATAAATCATGATTTATTATTTTATACAGTGAATAAATCATGATGTATTATATTATACAGTGTATAAATCATGATGTATTATATTATACAGTGAATAAATCATGATGTATTATATTATACATTGAATTAATCATGATGTATTATATTATACAGTGTATAAATCATGATGTATTATATTATACATTGAATTAATCATGATGTATTATATTATACACTGTATAAATCATGATGTATTATACAGTGAATAAATCATGATGTATTATATTATACAGTGAATAAATCATGATGTATTATATTATACAGTGAATAAATCATGGTGTATTATATTATACAGTGGTGTATTATATTATACAGTGTATAAATCATGATGTATTATATTATACAGTGTATAAATCATGATGTATTATTTTATACAGTGTATAAATCATGATGTATTATTTTATACAGTGTATAAACAAGATATTATTGAGATGTGCTGTTCAAGACCGAGGAATTTGACCAGCAGTGATGACAGCAATATAATAGGCAATGCTTGTTCTAGTCATACTAATAATAGTGAATGGAAAAGATCTGTGATCATTCTGATACCAGTACGACTTGGTGGTGAAGAATTTAATCCCATTTACTCACCGTGCTTAAAAAATCTGATGGCAGTAGAGTCATGTATAGGAATCATTGGCGGGAAGCCAAAACATTCATTGTATTTCATTGGCTGGCAAGGTTAGTACATGTACATTGTTTCTAGCTCAGTGAAAACAAAAATGTGCCAGCAAGATTATTATTTATTTTTATATCATCAGAGACACATATCAACTTTCAAGATTAGAATTTTTACTTTTTACACTTCTATAACCAAAGTAAGCATTTATCTGAATCTCTAAAACTAAAGTTGAGACACAAGCTAAGTTTATTTATTTATTTTTTTTGTTTTTTTTTAAACCCTCTAGTATCATATAGATTGTCTGGCAAGGTGAGCATTTACTTTAACCACTTTATTCAAAGTTGGCAAAGGTGGTATTTTGTTTAAGAGAACTTGAACCTAAACTTGGGTGACAAAGGAAGTGCTTTTGTCCACTTTATCCTGCAAAAACCAAATACTGACTTTTGTAAAAGACCTCTAGTACCAAATGTTGGCTGATAGAGGTATTATTTGTATTGCATGAATGAAATCAAATTTGCCTGCAAATATATCACTTTGTTTTTCATGACTAAAAGGCGAAGATAGTATATTGTTTTTACTGCTAGAACTAATGTGTTGGCTGGCAATGGTAATGCATGCATTTATGTTTACATAAATAAAACCATAAATAGCTTGGCCAGATAGCAGTTGTTTTTCACTATGTTGGTTGTCAGTTATGGTATTTTTTAAGATATTAGTCCAGACTTGATTTTGTTTTCTTGAAGTATTCTTGATTTTTTAAATTATACTTGACAAATTTACTTTAGATTATGTTATGTACTTCTTTCAGAGGATAAACTGATTTACCTGGATCCACATTTTTGTCAAGATCATGTAGATACATTGCAGAGGGACTTCAAGATTGAGGTAATTTTTATATTGCTTTCTTTCTTGTTGTTATCAATTGCTAAATTAATTTGCTACCACATGGCAATAGTACCATATAACAAGTGGTCTCTGGTATAAAAATTTATGTTACCAGAAAATATTTGGGACCGCCTCCGTGGTCGAGGGGTTAGAATCGATGACTTCTAATCTAGTTACTTCTCTGGCGTGGGTTCGATCCCCGGGAGATGCTTTGGTAGTTAAGCGCGGAGGATGGTAGTCTAGTACTGGTGTAACTCTCCAGGAACGATGGTTAGGAAACTACCCGCCTATATGACTGAAATACTGTTGGGAAAAGGCGTAAAATGAAACAAACAAACAAACAAACAAAACAAAATATTTGGGTAGCATATAGTCATCACTTTGTTGTTAAGTAATTCTCTTGATTTTTCCTATAGTTATATAAACAGATTTATTTCAGTTTACAATGTAAGGACAAGGCACATCATACAACATACACGAAACAGACATGAAAAGGACTTGAGATGTATACATTTATAAATAGCCATTAACATTACTTTACATAAAAATGAGTAAAAAGATTTAAAACAAACTCTTGTTTCCATTGTGGTCCTTAGTTTCTCCTAGCAACATCATTTATTGTCTTATTTCCTCGATGTTTGGATACCTTGGATGGTTCGCTAACATTGGATGTAGATTTAATTTATTTAGGTCAAGGTCAATGGTGCTAAAATACTTTTTTTATGCTTTTCCTTTACAATATTTTGCATTGAAACACAAATACAACACAATGACAATGGTGAAGGTTCAGGGGGTGTGGGGTGCCTTTTTAACATTATGTCTTGCTGAATGAGTAAAGTAGAAGAATACATTTAAATATGTATGAACTGTATAGATGGCTAAAAAGGTATATATATAGAGGATATTGAATGAGTGTAGTTTAATACTAAATTTATTTAACGAGTTGAATAAAATCATATTGTGCGAGCCTCTGGCGAGCATAATGTTGTTTTATTCAATGCGTTGAATAAATTTAGAATTGAATCTACACGAATATAATATTATATTTATCACATATATAAAATAGTAACAGTAAACTGTTAAAATGAGTAGTTTTTCAATGACGCGCCTGTAGTGTAACGCTAAGATTAGCGCGCTTTAACGCAATGTTTCTTTATGGCGCAAATGATGTCACGTCAAAGTGTTATTACACTAGTGTAATATCGTTTTTATTAAATGGCTTTATTACACTCCTGCGCCGCGGTTTATGTGATAAATGAAGTTTCTATATCAAGCTTGGTAGCCTTTGTATTCCAATGGTGTGAAAAAATATGAAATTCTCTTGAGCATGTTAAATTATTATCAAACCTCATTTAGAACCTTTAGGATGCATGTATTGTTGCCTACAGTTATGGTATTAATATACACGGTACTGAATTTAATATGTATGCTAAATATGTATTAAAATGAAAGGAGAAAATATGTAAGAAGTTGGCATGAGGTCTGGTTGGTAAACACTTTCAGTGATTGCTAGTGTGAGTCCCAATTCTTCAGTATTCTTCAAAGGGATTTAGCAAACACTTTTGTATATTGTGTAGATATGTTGATGTATATTTATATATGCAATAAAATAATATTAAACTTAAAAGTATTTTTCTCAACTTCAGGTAAATTAAGGAAATTCACTCATGCATATAGACTGCACTGCAAACTAGGAAATACAGTTCTTAGAAAACAATTGTTGATGTCCTGTAATTCCCAGTTATTATGTTTTGTTTTCATAAATTAAAAAAACAACAACTTTGAGCTAATTGTTTCTGTTTTATCAACAGTCATTCCATTGCTTTTCACCAAGGAAAGTATCGTTGGGCAAAATGGATCCCAGTGCATGTGTGGGTTTTTACTGCAGGACCAAACAAGATTTTCAGAGTTTTGTGGAGCATACAGAAGAGGTATGAAGAAATATCATACATTGTAGAAAAATGTCAAAAAACTGCGCTAAAGCAAGAAATTGCAAAAAAATTGTCAAAAGTAGTTTGAAAGTGAATGATTTGGTTTTAAATGTGATCACTTTGTGAGATAGAACTAAAGATAGAAAACTAGTATTATATTGTTATAGTAGATCCTTCAATGTAAATTTATAATGACATGAATGTGTCTTTAAAAAAGAACAATTTTAGTCACATGAGATAGACTAGGAAATAAAATATTGAAGAGGTCCTGAAGGACACTGCTAATTTCTCTAAACAAGAAATTTATCAAAGTTAACAAAGAAGAAATTATACATTTGTACTTGAAATTGGTCTACTTCATCCAGGTATAAACAGGTAACAGAGTTCCTGGTATTACTCCATGATTCTATAATAATGGCTGCCATAAGGAGAGTGAAGTCTGTATTAACAAACTAATTATTATAGTGGCTTAATGCCTAGCAGTGACAGCTGTATAGTTAGTGATCATTAACTTAGTCTATATGGTGCACATTACTTTTACTTATTTTATATTTTTGGGGGATCTGAAGCCAAGGTCATTGGCTTCAAACCACTTGCCCCTCACCACTATGGTTTCTAGTTTTGCTAGGAACTTTGGAGTCTTTTATGTGAGAAAGCTGGAAAATGCCATATTTTCTCTACTGTGTTGGTGCGAGATGTAATAATAATAATAATAAATAATGTTTTATTTACATTTGCAGATGGTAACACCAAGTAGAGGCAGCGGATTATATCCAATGTTTGTATTTAATGAAGGAAAGGGAAGTGATATGAATATACAGGACTTGAGCCTCAGTGAGGAAAAGTATGTGCGTGTTAAACATGCTACAATAGATGAAAGTGGAAAAATTAGGTCATCAACAATAGACTCGGAGGAATTTGTTGTTTTATAACTCTGGTATGAAATCATCTTCAAAGATTATTTCCAGGCAGATATATAACAAAAAGTGATATTGTTCACATGTGTTCAATTGTATGTACATGTATATTTATTTGCATAATTATATCTAGTTAAGAAATAATACATTGTTTAGTGTTGGGTGTCCTAGATTTGACCCAGTATTTTAATCAGCACCAACTTTGTTGATGCCCTAACACTTGTAGTGTTGAATCACTGTATACCGTTATTTTATCAGGTAGTTTAATATGAGGATATGAATGTTGGCCTAGATACCCAATATACAACATGTATGAACCAAAGTTTTTGGATCTCTAGTCGTCCGTCCATTTGCCACATGTCCATAATTTCTTCAATAAATATCTCTTTCAAATTTTACCAGAATATACATTCGTACTGAAGACATTCTCTCAATAAAAGATTCCTTTAAAATAAAGGTAAACAAAATAATTATTTCTATGGCAACCAACAACTGGGATACAATATGTGTTTTAAACTAAATGCACTTGATGGTAGCAAGTATTACCTTTCTCTACAAATATACAATGAAGATAGAGGGAGATTTAAATATTTATTTATGTTGTAAATTTTTCTTTTATCATAGACTTTGTGTAAAAAAATTTGACTTTCACTTGAGTAATTGTTTTAAAATGTATATTTCTTGAAATAGTGATTGTTATTATACAATAATTTGACTTTGAATAAACTGGTGTTTTTTTTAAAAATTGTCTATCCACATTACCCCATTTGGACAAGTTGAAATGGCCACATTCCCCCTTTTGGACAAATTGAAATGGCCACATTCCCCCTTTTGGACAAGTTCAATTGCCAACATTTCCCGTCTTTGAACAAGTCGAAATGCCCACATTCTCCCTTTTGGACAAGTAGAAATGCCCACATTACGCCTTTTTGAAATTTGAAATTTCCACATTCCCCCTATTGGACAAGTTAGAATGCCCACATTCTCCCTTTTAGACAAGTTGCAATGCCAACATTCCCCCTTATGGACAAGTGAAAATACCCACATTTCCCTTTTGGAAAAGTTGAAATGCCAACATTCCCCCTTTTGGACAAGTCAAAATGCCCATATTCCCCGTCTTTGAACAAGTCAAAATGCCCACATTCTCCCTTTTGGACTAGTAGAAATGCCCACATTACGCCTTTTTGAAATTTGAAATGCCCACATTCCCCCTAACGGACAAGTCGGAATGCCCACATTCTCCCTTTTGGACAAGTTGCAATGCCAACCCTTATGGACAAGTGAAAATACCCACATTCCCCTTTTGGAAAAGTTGAAATGCCAACATTCCCCCTTTTGGACAAGTCAAAATGCCCACATTCCCCGTCTTTGAACAAGTCAAAATGCCCACATTCTCCCTTTTGGACAAGTCAAAATGCCCACATTCCCCGTCTTTGAACAAGTCAAAATGCCAACATTCCCCCTTTTGGACAAGTCAAAATGCCCACATTCCCCGTCTTTGAACAAGTCAAAATGCCAACATTCCCCCTTTTGGACAAGTCAAAATGCCCACATTCCCCGTCTTTGAACAAGTCGAAATGCCCACTCAACACCTTTTGGACAAGTTGAAATGCCCACTATTCCCCTTTTGGACAAGTTCAATTGCCAACATTTCCCCTTCTGGACAATAATAGATGCACACACCACCCCTTTTGGACAAGTCGAAATGCCCATATTAAAGAGAATTTTGGATTGTTGAGTTCATGAATACTTTATCAAGTTTATACAGATTATGTTTCATTTAGACATACATTTTTATATACATTAACTGTTAGCTAATATAAGGTAAGTAAGAACTTAGATAAAGAACTTAAATAAAAGATGAATGTTTGAAATATTATCTTTCCCTGCATTGTAAGATGTTAAAAGAAAATAACATTTTATTATCTCATTATGAAAAGATAATTAAAGGTAACAAAATTAACATTTTATTATCTCATTAATGTAAAGATAACTAAAATACCATTTTATTATCTCATTAATGTAAAAATAACTAAAATACCACCATTTTATCTCATTAATGTAAAGGTAACAAAAATAACATTTTATTATCTCATTAATGTAAAGATAAATAAAATACCATTTTATTATCTCATTAATGTAAAGGTAACTAAAATAACATTCTATTATCTCATTAATGTAAAGATAACTAAAATAACATTTTATTATCGCATTTATGTAAAAATAACTAAAATATCACCATTTTATTATCTCATTAATGTAAAAATAACTAAAATACCATTTTATTATCTCATTAATGTAAAAATAACTAAAATACCACCATTTTATTATCTCATTAATGTAAAGGTAACAAAATACCATTTTATTATCTCATTAATGTAAAGATAATTGAAGGTAACTAAAATAACTTTTTATTATCTCATTAATGTTAAGATAATAAAATAACATTCTATTATCTCATTTATGTAAAGATAATTAAAGAAAACTAACAACTTTATAATCTGCATGTTTAAAGCTTAACACTGTTAAACAATTACACTACATGGTATATAAGCATTAATTTTACTGGTAAAGAAACATTGCAACTCAGCAGTTTATTCATTACTCTTCACTCTTGCATAAAATTGCAGTCTCAGGTATACATGAACAAGGAAAAAACATGCATTAAAGTGACATTATGCTCATTTTTTCAAAGTCAAGTTGAGCTGAAATGACTATCTTATTTCATAAGATTGACTGATATGATTGATCAACATTTTATCTGAGAAAATGTTATGGATAAAATATAAAAATCTGCCTAAAATCATCGTCGGATCATCACGGCCGAACCATTAACATTTATATTGATTGCATGTTATGTAACATGTTTATCAATCGTGGGTAACCGACGATGGCCTAAAATATACAAAGACTGCCCCACTCTTTCTATAAATTGAATGTTCAGATAAATTCCTATGGACATTTAAAGAAATTTCCATGGGCCATGCAAGTTATTTATTGTCCATGCGAATTAATTAAAAAATTAAAAATTATGGCAAAAATAAACTTATTTTGACTTTCACCTGTTCAATCATTACTTACCCTTGAATGGGCATAATGTTATTTTAATTGATAGGTTCTCATGACCACATGCAGTTGTAGCATGTTTTATGGCACTGCAGTATCTGCAATAAGGTGGCATATAGAGATTCACCTATGTGTGTGTGTGTGCGTGTGTGTGTATGTGTGTTACATACATTGTATATTAGATTATATAGTGAACTTAAAAAATCTTCTTGTAAAAAAACACTAGTCCAATTTTAATCAAACTTGGCAGGATTGATCCTTGGTTGGTGGGCTTCTAAAGTTGTTCAAAGAGTTTGATTCCATGCAGAAATCTGGTTGCCATGGCAATCAAAAGGAATGATAAGAATAAATTTTAAAAATCTTCTTGTAAAGACCCACACGGCTTAGAACAGAGATATTTTGCAAAAGGCATTGTCTAGTAAACCTCTACCGAGATTGTTTAAATTAAAGCCCTGGGGTCAAAATTGGCCCCGCCCCAGGGGTATTTGATTTTCATTATGTTCATATAGTAAAATCTATAAAAATTCTCTTGTCTGAAGGTACAAAGCTAATAGAGCTTTGATATTTTGTATATGATATCATCTATAGGTCCTCTACCAAAATTGTTCAAATTTTTCCTCTAGCTGCCCCAGGGGTTATAGGTTTTCCTTATATGTATATAGTAAAATGTTAAAAAATCATCTTTGAATTCACAAAGGCTAGAGGTTAGATTTTTGCAAGCAACATTGCATTATAAGTGGACCTCTTCCAGTATTGTTCAAATTATAGCCCTGGGGTCAAAATTTGTCCCACTCAGTGGGGAGGGGAATCATTGATTTTCACTATGTACATACAGTTAAAACTTGTGTAATGCAAGCGGCTTAGTTTACAATGTGAAAACAGCTAAATGCAAGGATAGTCCCGGTAGTTTTATTACAGCTTTCTACACGATCATACCTTGTAAATATACACCGAGGTAGACTGCAAAGAAGTTTAAGCTGGCTTGACTATACTGTTTATTAAAGCTGACATGTAAACAGTGATAATATTATATCATTCTATTTCTTGTATGTCAACCACATCTGATAAAAATCTGATTTAATTTCATATCTTTATGTTTGACATAAAGCAAAGGGTTATTTTTTAAAAAAAAATGCAGCTCCACTGACATTCCTGAGGACAAAAAATGACAAAGCTGGTGAAATCTTTATTTTTTATATATGTTTATTGATATAAAATAATATTTGCACCACTTAATAAATATGTAATATGCATTTAAAGTGGCATGCCTCCAGATGCTTATTTAAGAAAATTAAACTTGTTTTATTTCAAGATGTCACTGAAATAACTTTATTTTTTTACCATTTCTCCTCTAATAACGTACAAGCTATATGTTAGTTTATCACATAAACTGCGATGCAGGAGTGCAAAAAAGCCATTTAATAAAAACGATATTACACTAGTGTAATAACACTTTGATGTGACGTCATTTACGCTATCTAGAAACATAGCATTAAAGTTCACTAATGTTAGCGTTACACAATAGGCCCATCATTGAAAAATTACTCATTTTAACAGTTTACTGTTTTATTTTATATATGTGATAAAAAGAATGTTAAAATCGTGTAGATTCAATACTAAATTTATTGAACTTGTTGAATAAAACAATATTAAGCTCGCCAGAGGCTCGCATAATATGATTTTATTCCACTTGTTCAATAAATTTAGTATTAAACTACAATCATTCAATATCCTCTATATCTTGACATATTGTATGCAATTTTTGTGAATGCTAGGTGTCTTAGCTTCCACAAGTTGCTGTATTTATACATGTACATTAACAAATTTTTAACCTTTCAGAACTCTTTCTTAATTTTCATCAAAGGTTGAAATAATCTGTAGGCATGCTGCTTTAGTGACAAAATTTTTATGTAAAACAAACATAATCAATATCATTAAAGTCATTCTGAATAACAAATATTTTGTGCCCAGTGTTACTGACTTTTGTATAAGTGAACATCTTTAAACACACGCATCAGTTAAATAACGAAGGCTATTTTATCCTTGTTTTAAAATTAAATTATCTAAAAACAAACTTCAACTGTTTCAGTTATATGTTGCCCATCATATAATTGATGTATATTTAAGGAGTGCCTATGTTTCTCCCTCTGTGCCCCTCCCCTCCATGAATCAAGCCAGGAACTTTAAATTCTTTAATGCTGGTAAGTTATCCAGAAGTATTAGGGCTGAAATAGTTTGAATTTATAAATAAGGAACATCTTAAACATGTACTTCATTTCAAAGTAAAGTAGAAACACCCTAGAGCATGTATGAAACACCCAACAGCTTAAGTGAAACACACAGTTGCATGTGTAAAACACTGAACAGCTTGAGTGAAACACCCAACAGCATGAGTGAAACACCCAACAGTATGAGTGAAACACCCAATAGCACAAGTGAAACACACAGTAGCATGTGTAAAACACCCAACAGCATGAGTGAAACACCCAACAGTATGAGTGAAACACCCAACAGTATGAGTGAAACACCTAACAGCACAAGTGAAACACCCAACAGCACAAGTGAAACACCCAACAGCTTCAGTGAATCACCCAACTTTACAACTGAAACACCCAACTGTATGACTGAAACACCCAACAGCATGAGTGAAACACCCAGTAACATATGTGAAACACAGAAAGTCTGAGTGAAACACCCCAACCATATGAGTGAAACACACAACAGTATGAGTGAAACATCAAACAGCATGAGTGAAACACCCAACAGCATGAATGAAACACCCAGTAACATATGTGAAACACAGAACAGTCTGAGTGAAACACACAACCATATGAGTGAAACACCCAACAGTATGAGTGAAACATCCAACAGCATGAGTGAAACACCCAACAGCATGAAGCATGAGTGTAACACCCAACAGCCAGCGTGAAACACCCAACAGCATGAGTGAAACATACTATTATATAAGTGAAATATCCCCTGAGTAAACAGAACAGCTATTAAATTTAGCTTACAAATAATTCATTCCATATACATTTTGATCAGTTCCAAATTTTTACTATATTTACCTTCAATTCTGGGGTCAATAATCTATATAACTGACAAAATATGCAAAAAACAATATAAACAGAAGTTTTACATGAATTCTCAAATTCTTTTATACATATGCAGCAAAATAATATTATGTAAGAGAGATTTTTATCTTATTCTCAGCATATGATATATTGAGAGTGACCCCCAAAATAGTGACAAGTGGAGGTAATAATTGCTATGTGTAAAGCATTCTTTAACATGATAAATAATACAAAGGAATAAAACTAGTTTTAAGAATGAATTAAACAGCCAGATGATTCTAAATAAAATCATAGAAGTTAATTTGATAGTACAACCTAATAATTGAAAATAAAACGCAGTCAGTTATGGTTTAATTAAGGTATGACTACCCTAACGGGCATTATTAGGAACTGAAAAATTGCCTTAAAGGACACCTGTATGCAAAATATTTAACGAAATTTACCACACAGTTTACGAGTTATGGACTTTTTTCTGAACTACAGATTGGAAACAAGAAGGCCTTTTTTCAGAAACTAGGTATCTCTAAATGATTTGGAATATCATTCTTCTGAAATGAGTTTTCCTAATGATAACACTCAGCTAAGAAATGACTGAAGCAAAATGATTGTTTCTTCTCAAAACATTTGAAATATGTGGGAAAATGTTACCCTACCTCTCCCATTTTAAACACATTTTCCTGCTTAGAAAAAAGTAAAAGATACCTAAAATTTACCCAACTGAGGGACTGTTTTCAAAGATTGCCCAAATTTTCTCAGATGTATATTAGTTGATCTTCTTTTAATCAAAATTAAACACTTTTTCTATCAAAAGGAGATCCAACTAATACACAAAAAATTTTAAAAGAAAAATAAGAAAGAAAAAAAAGAGTTGACCCTATGGGGTTTGAACCCACAACCCTCAGTTTCAATGCATTTGTAGCCTGTTTAGATACTCTTCATAGCAGAGGAAATGCATTAGGATAGTCATACCTGAAACATATTTATTTAAGCTTGATCAAGTTTAAATCTGATTTTAACCACGTGTTTGCTAGGAACCAGTGATTGTATAATATAAAGAAACATAATTGTGACCAGAATAGGGCTTGAGCCCAATATCCCTGAGTTGTGAACTAGACCACTTTTACCACTAGGCAACCTTTACCCATTTTAAATGATTACCGCCAAATAGGTTATTATATCTTTATTTGTATTATGCCCAATTCTAAAGATAAACAAACAGTAAAAAAAGACTTTTAATAGATACATTATGTAAAATAGAAAACTGAAAATTTGCAGACGTTTACAGATAAAATTAAATAGAAAACTGATTCTATAACATACATACATTTATGTAATAAAAGAACAACATCATTTAACAATATATGTCATTTTGAAATTAAATTTTGCCCAATCAATAATACATGTATATGATTTTACAGTATGCATGAAAATGTATCTGCTTAATACGTATGTCATGGTTGACATAAAATATCTTTAACCCTTAACCTGTATATTATTTTAAATAGACTTGTCCATCTTTCAATTTAAATAAAATCACTCAACATTTTTAGGGTAATTTTCAAAATAAATACTGACTGAATATTGAACAGTGCAGATCATAATCAGAAGGCAAGGAAGTGCCAGCTAATCTTGGTCTGCACTGGTCACATGGGTAGATTCAATTACCACCAGCAGGCTAAAGGTTAATACATGTACTTTATAGTCACATGGTATGACTTGTACATCACAATCATGCTATCACAAATGTCTGCTTCCAAAAAGGAATATCAGCGTTTTCAAAGCCTTGCTTGAGCAACACTTGGTGTATATTTTTTATACATGGTGACAACAGCTGCCCCACCAATTCCAAAATTATGCTGAAGTGCGACACACGCACCATCTACCTGCCTCTTCTCACTCTCTCCACGTAACTGTGATACCAGCTCTGCACACTGAGCTAATCCTACAATACATAATATATATATATGACACAAACACTCAAAATCTGACATTATATTACACAAACACTCAAAATCTGACATTATATTAAAACAAGAGGGCCATCATGGCCCTGAAGTTGCTCACCTGTATATAGGCCCCCATAGCGGGGCCAGTTTAAACCCCAGGGCTTTTATTTGAACAAACTTGGTAGAGATTGCTTAAGATTTTGAAGTTTTTTCTTTACACATATAGTTAAAAACACTGACACCCCTGGGGCAGGGCCAGTTTTGACCCCAGGGCTTTTATTTGAACAATCTTTGTAGACACTTACTAGAAAATGCTTCATGCTTAATTTCTTAACTCTAGCTATTCGGGTTTTTTCAAAGAAGATTTTGAAGTTTTTGCTATACACATATAAGGAAAATCAATGTCCTCCGAGCGGGGCCAATTTTGACCCCAGGGCTTTTGTTTGAACAAACTTTGTAGACACTCACTAGAAGATGCTTCATGCTTTATATCTAAACTCTAGCTCTTTGAGTTTTTTCAAGGAAGATTTTTTTAGTTGTTACTATACACATATAAGGAAAATCAATGACCCCCAGGGCGGGGCCAATTTTGAACCCCAGGGCTCTTATTTGAACAAACTTGGTAGACATCCATTAGAAGATGTTTCATGCTAAATATTTTAGCTCTAGCTCTATGAGTTCTTTAAAAGAAGATGTTTAAGTTTTTACTATATGAATATAGGAAAATCAATGACCCCCTGGGGCGGGGCCAATTTTAACCCCAGGGCTTTTATTTGAACAAACTTGGTAGACACCCATTAAAAGATGTTTCATGCTACATATTTTAGCTCTAGCTCTTTTGGTTATTTTAAAGAAGATTTTTTATGTTTTTACTATATGCATATAGGGAAAATCAATGACCCCCTGGGGCGGGCCAATTTTGACCCCAGGGCTTTTATTTGAATAAACTTGGTAGACACTCACTAGAAGATGTTTCATGCCAAATATCTAAGCTCTAGCTCTTTGGGTTTTTTTAGAAGAAGATATTTAAAGTTTTTTCTTTTGGTTGTCATGGCAACCAGAGTTCTGCATGGAATTAAATTCTTTGAACAATTTTCAAAGGTGACCACCAAAGGAACATTCCTGTGAAGTTTGGATGAAATTGGCTTAGTGGTTTATGAGGAGATGTCATTTAAAGTAAAAGTTTGCGGACGCCGGACGAAAAGCGATCACAAAAGCTCACCCTGTCACTTTGTGACAGGTGAGCTAAAAACTCAAAATCTGATACATGTCACAAGGACTTAAACACAAGTTTTTAATATCTGACATATCAAAATCTGATATACAGGTATAAGCATGACTATGGTGTTAAAGTTTTGTCCATGATTATATTTGATCATGTACATGTACCTTACTTCTGAAGTACAGAATAATCAACATTACCTGTAGCTCCTATTGGGTGCCCTTTAGACTCAAGTCCTCCAGATGGATTTACGACCCATCGTCCACCAAGTACAAACTGATCTCCTCCTTTGCTATTTTTTCGCCACTTGCCAGAATGTAGCAAGTCTGCGGCCCTTCCCTCTCCTGTAAGTTGTAACGCCTCATACATAAACATCTCATTACAGGAGAAACAATCATGAACCTGAAAAAAAAAACACACACACACAAAAAATTATACTTTTCACTCTGTACTTGAATTCCTTTTATTGTGGCCGTTGAAAGTTGCTTGGTTTTCTTATGAAACTATTGTCAATAACAATTTGTGCAATTATAAATTTGTTATACAAGTAATGATGGGATATGCAGGAGAATATAACCTTACTGACATAAATATGACCCTCTGCTAGGGCCTCGGGTCATATTTATCTAACTCAGGCTATATTCTCGTGTATATCCTGTCAGCAACTTGTATAACTAATAATGTCTCCTCCAAAATATATACACATGCTGAACTTTTTTCATTATATATAGTAAATACCCTTCGACAGAAATTGTTGAAATATGTACACCTACTATCATGTCCATCAACATTTACTCTTAACATAAGCTTATATAAGTTAAATTTATAAGTCAAAATCAATCTAAATACAGCTTTGCTTAAAAAAGCTTTACTCTACCTCCAAAACATCAACATCCGAGGATGTCATTCCACTTTCATCATAGCACTGCTGTGCTGCCTTCTTTGCCATACCAAACCCAGACAAATCCATAAAACTTTTTTCAAATGTTGATGGTAGATCTGTTACCATACTTTGTGCAACAATCTCCACTGCTCTGTTAACATAAACAATGATAATATATATACTTATACATACATCATGCCAGTCTCAGTGTATACATACATATATAACTTTCTACCATAATCTTATCGGTAGAAGAAAACCTTGTGTTTCTATTAATTAGTCATGCAGTTCTTCAAACATTTAACAGCAAATATAACATATAAACAAATTCTCTGTCAGTATATTCACACAATGGTTACTAATACAGTCAGGAATCTTAACCACTTGGTTATGGATGTCCCCCATTCAAAACACAGATTCTGATACTACAGATATTGTTGTAAGGATATTTAACAAGAGCCACCGCCGGGCGGGGCAACGCTCGACTTTTTGCTTTCTCTAAAAGCAAACAAAGAAATGTTCGAACAAAATTTTAACGTTTCCTTTTTTATAAAATTAATCTGTCTGTCTTGTCACATAAGTTTTGTCTATATATTTTGTATATATAAATATACTAAATTATATATATATATAAATAGAAACACGCAATTCTATAAATAGAAAATTCTATAAATAGAAACATGCAATTTTATAAATAGATACACGTGGTGGTGTCACGTGGTTGACACGTGGTGGTGTCTTGTGGTGGTGTCAGTGGTTGAGTCACATGGTGTCATGTGGTGGAGTCACGTGGTGGAGCAACATGGTTGTGGCACGTGGTGGAGTCAAGTGGTGGAGTCACGTGGTAAAGTCACATGGTGGTGTCACGTGGTTGAGTCATGTGGTGGTGTCACATGGTGGAGTCACGTGGTGGTGTCATGTGGTGGAGTCATGTGGTAAAGTCATGTGGTGGTGTCATGTGGTGGTATCGCATGGTTAAGTCACTAGGTGGTGTCACATGGTAGTCATGTGGCGTAGTCACATGGTGGTGTCACGTGGTAAAGTCATGTGGTGGAGTCATGTGGTGGTGTCACATGGTAGAGTCACGTGGTAGAGTCACATGACTTCATCACGTGAAAAAATCACGTGATGGAGTCATGTGGTGGTGTCACTTGGCCGAGTCACATGGTGGTGTCACATGGTAGTCACATGGTGAAGTCACGTGGTAGTGTCAGGTGGTAGAGTCACGTGGTGGAGTAACGTGGTGGAGTCACGTGGTGAAGTCACATGGTGAAGTCACGAGGTGGAGTCACGTGGTAGAGTCACTTGGTGAATTTACGTGGTGGAGTCACATGGTGGTGTCATGAGACCGAGTCATGTGGTGGCTTCACGTGGTGAAGTCACGTGGTAGAGTCACGTGGTAAAGTCACATGGTGGAGTCTTGGGTGAAGTCACAAGGTGGAGTCACGCAGTGGTGTCACATGGTTGAGTTGTGTGGTGGTGTCATGAGGTGGAGTCACGTGGTGGAGACATGTGGTGTCAAATGGTTGTGTCACGTGGTGAAGATGATGATATATCTATATATATATACACACACACACCAATAAATATATATGGTCATTTAATGCACAAATCTGAGAAAATTCAGTAATTTAACCTTCAAGGTCAAGGTCATTAATGAGCCCAAGTGTTTGATAAACAACAAGGTCTTGTCCTTAAGTATGTTCTGTTATAATATGAAGTTGATCCCTTCAATAATAGCAAGTTACAGCCAGTTACAGCCAAAACAATGAAAATTTCAATAATTTGAACTTCAAAGTCAAGGTCATTAATAAGTGAAAGTCATGGTCTGTCTGGTTATTTTTAAGGGTTATCCCTGAAGATTATTATGTTCAAGTTTGAAGACAATCCATTCAAAAATAACAAAGTTACAGCCAATAATAGCCAAAAACATGAAAATTTCAATAATTTGACCTTCAAAGTCAAGGTCATTTATGAGTGAAGGCCAAGGTCTGTCTGGTTATTTTTAAGGGATATCCTTGAAGATTATTATGTTCAAGTTTGAAGACAATCCATTCAAAAATAACAAAGTTACAGCCAATAACAGCATGAACAAGCAAAATTTGGACTTTTAACCTTAAAGGTCAAGGTCTTTAATGGATGAAGGTCAAGGTTAGTGTGGTCTACTGAAAGGTCTTGTCCCAAGGGTTGTTGTGGCCAAGTATGAAGACAATACACCAAGAAATAAAAAAAGTTATGATCCAGGTACAAGTTTGAGGACGGCAATGGCAACGCCGCCGCGACTATAGCAATACCTCTACTATTTAAAAAAAAAAAAAAAAAAAAAAAAAAAAAAGTCGACCTAAAAACAGAATGGCAATATTTGATAGGTGCTTTGGAAGTTGCTTAAGTATTATAAATATTATACCTGTTTTGAAGATTGTTTTTTAACATGAAATCTTCACTGCATACAATAGCCGCAGCACCTCCATCAGCCACAGGTGCTGACATCCAAAATGTAATTGGTTCACATAACATCAATTTACCACCAATGTCCTCCCTTGATATTTCCTTTGACATTGTTGCTTTTGGATTATTGATACTCTGTTTGTGGTTCTTATATGCTACTTCAATAAAGTCTGACAATTTTGTGTGAGGAAATTTCTTCATATATTCTCTGGCTGCATAAGCATACAATTTGATGACATCAGAGGTCATGTTGTTCATGCGTGGCTGAATAAGTCCTGGTTTGGCGCCTATTTTAACCATGTGATTCATGTGTACTGCCACAGGGGACGCTTTGTCTGTATACCTTTCAGATAAACCCTTCTCCATTTTCTCAAATCCTACAACAGGATATCAAGCATTAATTTGTTAGAGCTATAAAGTTATCTTACTATCTACACAATGGTATGAAATAAAACCTGTAAAAACAAAATTATTATATGTCTTAATAAGTGTATACATAAAGAAACATCAAATTCCCAACTTTTATAACATTTAACAACTTGATTAAAATTATCTTTTACCACTGGAACTGCCCTTTTTAACTGCCTTGATTATTACTTTTTTGTGATAAGAAAAGGGAGTGTGTGTGTGCTGGACCTTATATAATCAAGCTTTACTATATAAAAATGTCAAGTAAAAGTTAAGGACTGTCAATGAAAACTACTGATCTTTTCATTTAAAGTTTCAATAAATTACATAAAATACAAAATATTTATACTGACCCTCTATTAGTCATAAGTACAACGTTTTTAGAGAAGATCTATAAAGTATAAACAGATAAAGAAAGATGACCAAGTCCAGTTACTCTTTTTCTTTATAAGTAAAAGTACTTGACCAATCTTAAGAAGGAAGCAAGGAATAAACTTACCTAAAGCAAGTACACAGTCCTCAACACCACTCTGTACCAGTCTGCGGGCCATCATTAGTGCAGTAGAACCTGATGAACAGTTGTTGTTTACATTGTATACTGGTACCCCAGTAAGTCCTAGCTGGTATACAGCTCTCTGACCACAGGTTGGTTCCCCATAACAATAACTTGCTACAACAGACTGGATTTTATTGTATTTCAGACCAGCATCTTTAAGAGCAGCCAATCCTGTGATATAATATTATTGTAATATAAGTTTTTTTATTAACATAGATTACAACAATTCTTGCTTTACAAGGAAATATCAAATTTATTCTTACAAAATGACAACTCTAAACCTGAAAAAATAACACAAAATGTAATATACATGTAACACAGAAAAAGGGAATCCCTAAAGAATGCCAAAAAAAGGAGCAAAATCTGAAAATGTTACAGGCTAAGTTTAATCTAGTCTGTTCACAGACTTCATACCCCCTAGCCCCTGCTTAAGTAGATTTCAACATTTAAAGATGAAATGATGAAATTTTAAATTTAGAAAAATCCACATGTGTCCGTCATGGAACCTTCAATGAAACATGTTTGTGCCATTCCTTGAAAAGCAATGTGTAATCCCTAAATTAAAGAATGAAAATTATGATTGTGTCCTAAACGAGAAAACAATCGGCAAAACTAAATACATTGTAAAATGGAATTTTGAAAGCAGATGAGATGTTATGAAGCTGTCAAAAGACAAATTTGAAAACTAGGCAAAATATCTTAAGAGTGATTATACAGTAGAAAAGGGTCAAATAGAAGGAATATTAAATACATTTTGTACATTTGTACCACAAACGATAATAATGTCATACTGAATCATCTTCAAGGATTGGAAATATAACTGCAAAGATGATAAACATACTAACCAGCTTGTTTACCCATGTCTGGGTAATCCCAGTCTTTTGTCATTGGCCTTTCAAATTTGGTCAATCCTGTCCCAGCAACAAAAACTCTTTTGGATTTGCTTTTTGCAGCCATATTTATGATCTTTTTTCACTTTTCTCCACTTTTCTAAAAAAATAACATGTCCTTTTATCTATAGAGAAATAAAAGCCCACTGACTTTTCACAGTCTTTTAGTATAAAAAGGTCTTTACATGATTTTTTTAATGGTATAGCGAAATTTCAGACCCTGATATTCTTATTTGCAAATGCCGAAAGTAGTCCAAACTTCTCAAAGCGGTTACTTCCCTTCATATGTACATTAACGCCAAAAAATTAAGGGGAGACACTGCGTAAAGATTGTCAAATGACAGGCGCATTAATTTTCGTAATGAAAAAATAGTTCCGATTGGTTGAAGATTTCTAATATTGTGTTATTTTTATAGATATACATGCTTATATTCAGCCCCATGATTATTTACTTCAGTGTCAAACAACAGATTTACCATGAACAAAATATATCAAAATTAATAAGGGTTACAAACTCTCACTAGACCTATCACTGAAGGTGATTAATACCCCCACCAACAACTTTGACTTTTTGAAAAAAAAGTAGTCTGAAGAAAAATTTGAACACAAACTATCAACTGTGTACAAAGAAATATTTCAATTAATTGTAATCACAACTGGGGTCTCGAAATAAGCTTGCTATACACCAAGTTTGATTACAATATCTCATTCCTAACTCTAGTTATTGTCAGGAAACCATTTTTTCTATTTTTAGTAACACTGTAACAGTGACCTTGACCCTAGGGGGTCCAAATGCAATACCAACCCAGGTCTTCATATAAGCTTCCTATACACCAAATAAGATTACAATATCTCATTCCTAACTCTAGTTATTGTCCGAAAACCATTTTTCGTAACGGTGACCTTGACCTTGACCCCAGGGGGCCCAAATGCAATACCAACCAAAGTCTTCATATAGGCTTGCTATACGCCAAGTTTGATAACAATATCTCATTCCTAACTCTTGTTATTGTCCGGAAACCATTTTCTATTTTTAGTAACACTGTAACGGTGACCTTGACCCTAGGGGGTCCAAATGTAATACCAACCCAGGTCTTCATATAAGCTTCCTTTACACCAAATTAGATTACAATATCTAATTCCTAACTCTAGTTATTGTCCGGAAACCATTTGTCTATTTTTCCTAACGGTGACCTTGACCTTGACCCCAGGGGGTCCAAATGCAATACCAACCCAGGTCTTCATATAAGCTTGCTATACACCAAGTTTGATTACAGTATGTCATTCCTAAGTCAAGTTATTGTCCGGAAACCATTTTTCTATTTTTAGTAACAGTGACCTTGACCCCAGAGGGCCCAAATGCAATACCAACCCAGGTCTTCATATAAGCTTGCTATACGCCAAGTTTGATAACAATATCTCATTCCTAACTCTAGTTATTGTCCGGAAACCATTTTTCTATTTTTAGTAACAGTGACCTTGACCTTGACCCCGGGGGGTCCAAATGCAATACCAACCGGAGTTTCCATATAAGGTTGCTATATACCAAGTTTGATTACAATACCTCATTCCCAACTCTAGTTATCGTCCGGAAACCATGATGTGGACCGACCGACGGACCGACCGACCGAAAAGCTGACTCCTATATACCCCCCCTAAACTTCGTTTGTGGGGGTATAATTAAGAATAATATGTAATAGTTATAGTACATGAAACGAGTTAGTTACGAGGATATAACACTGGCTGGGGCGACATCAAGGGATGTTTCTGCTAAAAAATGGCGAGGCTGTTAGAAGGTTTTCTAAAAGGGCAACATAAATGCTCTTGTGCCTACGGCCATCTTTTAGGGATTCATTTGACCACTTTATGCTTTGCATGTTGAAATCACCAAGGTTCCAAACTGAGCTATTCCTTGGGATCTTACTAAGGGTTGACCAGAGTTGATTAAGGGATTCCTCATCATTCTCATGAGGTTTGTCAAAAGAGGAAATATATATATATTTCTTATACCTTTAAGGGTACTTAGTAATCTTTGCCCAGATAGCGTTACAATTTGATTAGAGGTGGGGCTGTTCCTGGCTCATAATAGTAGGGGTGTGGATCGTCGGATAAGTGATGATCCGATCCGAACCACGATTCAGCACTTACGATTCACAAATGGAACCACAAATCTTTTGTTATCAACACACCCATAAAAACATGTACATTCGTTACAAAAACATGTTTATTTAAAAAAACAATACTAAACATTAAACATATAAAATATAAACTAGGTTTATGTTTTTATTCTTTGGATGACTGAGTATTTTTTTTTAAACCAATTACTTCCTAGCTCAGCATCATGGTACATGGTCTTTAACCGGCAAATTGTATTTAGGTAAACTTCATATAATTTATACTCAAATCGTATTTTTCTCGATTTTATGAGTGTGAGAAACAGTGAATGTATATAAAAAAAATAGATCGCGATGCACGATCTCTGGGCTTACGAATATTCAAACTCGATTTTTCACTTTGATTCGTGATTATCCGAGTACTCAGATACTCGCCCCAGCCCTACATAATAGATCATGATATGGCTAACAGCGTCCCCCCTTCTGGCCTATTTAATCTATCATCCCCATATATATTAAAATTCAGGTGGTCTGGAAAAATTTCCAAAGAATTTATTTCCGGTTTGAGCCAAGTTTCTGTAAAGCTTAGTATGGCTGGCTTTATTTTGGTGATAAACTGTTGTAGACTGGGAATCTCATTTTTTACAGAGTGGCAGTTGTTATGGGTCTAGAGTGACTGCAGTCTAGATGATGGGAATTAATATTTTCATCATTACTGAGGGATTGAAGAGGAGTAAAATAGACTAATTAAGGATTCTGAGAGAGGAAGGGGGAAATTTAATCTGCCACATTTAGAACAGTATCAAACAAACCTGAAGTCAGATGAATGACAGACTATTCTCTCCCTAACCAGTTCCTCTCCCTGACGGTTCTCTCCCAAACCGTTTCCTCCCCTGATGGTTCTCTCCCAAATTTGAAATATGCAGACAGTTCTCCCCCAATTTTTTTATTATTTATCATTTTAGTTTTTACTTCTAATATTTCTTAATGAAGACTATATTAAAAGAATGTATTTGACATTAAGAGCATTTAATGTTTTATGTTTATTTGATTCTGAAAAGTGTTTGTAAATTAAACACCTTTTTCAGGTATTTTAATCCTATTAACACCTTCATTGTGAGAGGTAAGATTATTTGACAGTGATTGATATACACCTCTAATTATGTTAAAGTCTAGGGATATTCATTCATTTGTTAAATAGGGAATTACTTAATAAGGTGATAACAAGTATGTTATAGAAAATAAATAAGCAACAACTGGTATGCAATCACATTTCACTTTTACTTTCATAAAAAAATTTATTAAAGAACATGTAGTCATTAACATGAAACAATATATAATACCAAATAACTAATAAATATTTATTTATCAACACCTTTTCACATTTAGTTTAATCATTAGATTACACCTTGAGTCTTGAATAATTAATTAATAAACACCTTAATTATCTCTGACAGCAAACTTAATGCAAATGTGTATTGAACTCCTTTCTTCATTATACAAAAGAATGAAATTTAGCAATTAAAATTCATAAATCATTTTTTCTTATGATTTTTTTTCTTATTTTTAAAAAAAGCAAATAAAAAAACTCAAACAATAATTAATATGGAATGATTATCCTAATCAAGTAAATTATTCAATAATTATTTTCAATGACTAAACACATGAAAAAGTATACTTTAGATCTAATAAAACAATCAGTCTAATATACTTATGTGCTAAAATTATTTTTTTTAATCTAATTTATATCAATTAATCATTAACATACCAATGGCCATGCATGTATGAAACATCTAAACACTTCAATGAAATATTTTTTTCTCTAATTTATTTCAATTAATAATTATTTAATAATAAACTTATCCATTTATTAAACATCTATATACTTCAAAAATAATGTATTAATATAAATAAAAATGAGGAGGAACTGTCTGCTTACTTGCAAACATGCAGACGGTTCTCCCCCAAAATAGGGAGAGAACCGTCAGGGAGGAAACGTCAGGGAAGGAACTGGTAAGGGAGAGAATAGTCTGACTACCAGTCAGATAGGCAAAAGAAAGTGGAGTCGCCTATACCTTGGCATTTAACATGAAACCATGGTCAAAAGCTATTCCTTGATGTTCAGGACTAATTAAACCTCAGTGTCTACAGTATATTTTTCTTACTCAGTAGGCCTATGTCTAGTCCTATAAATATGACGTCGCTTTGAGATATTTTTGCTTCTGGGCAAAGCAACGTCATATCGAAATTGCTCAAAAACCCATAGCATGTTCCGCCAGAAAATCGGGCGGAACGAAAAACAATGAAGACAGCGTGTATTTACATATTTTTTGACCTATTTATGAACAAAACTAAAAAATAAATACCTTTTGTCAAAATAATTAAACTGTCACATCCGAAAAATCACGATTAAATCCTCTCATGTATTTCAATTCCTTTTACAGCCGATAAACAAATGGCGGCCGTAAAGTGCGCGAAATCTGATTGGCTAATTCAAATGCAAGCGTTTAACTGAGTCAGAACAATCTAACGGAATATTTTTTTAACGAAATAATTGCCCATGCACCGTCAGTGTGTTCGAATATATTTTTCCGTTCAAAAATTTGGAATCAATCTGTAAAGCACCTTGCTTAACCAGTATGGCTGACAGACAAAAATAGATTGATGTTTATATTTTATTTTAAATTGATAAGTACATCGTTTGACAGTTTTTGTGTATGATTGAGCATGAAATTGAAAGAAAATATGATAATCTTTTGAATAAAGCTTGCAAGGCAGGACAATAGACATTTTTGGAATTTTTTATGATGCTATGCGTTTTTGAGCAATAACTATTAGACGTCAGGCTTGACCGACAAAAACTATAACAAGCCTGTAACGTCTAATATATTGGACTAGACCGACAAAAACTATAACAAGCCTGTAACGTCTAATATATTGGACTAGCCTATGTCAAGAAATTCATCAACCATATTGTTATGAAGAACAACTCAAACTGTTCACCTTTCTAGATGTTTTAATCAGTAGGGCCTACTAACTCATAGTCTTCTGAGAATTCTATGTGTGTGGCATGTACAAGAAGACTTCATTAATGAAAAGTAAACATTATACACTGTACTGTACTTTAATTATTATAAACAGATAAAGCTAGACGATTAAAGTGTAATGAACAAACAAAACAAATTTGTAGTTTAATGTCTAAAAGTAATGCTATTAGAATACTGTGTTACACAATCCCTTGACATAAACTGATAAAGTTAAATTAAGACGATTTTGTATTATGGTGTTGATGACGATCAAATAAATTTTAGCATACTTGTTTGTTTACTTCTCAAGCTCGTGATTTGCAAGGAACGATATATTTTATGACCTCTGAAGTCGGTAGACTACAAAACGAAATATTTCTTAAACGAAAATATGCAAAATGCATTTTGAAATACAATTTATTCAATAAATGTAACGACAAAACATATCCAATATATTTAATTTTCTTTTTCTTTTCTTTGTTTTGATAATTGAGGGGATGAAGGTAAATAATTTATTCAATTCTTGGTGGTTCATTTTTCATTCAAAATTGATACCTGAAGTCACAAAGTCCAGCGACAACCGACAACGGAGACTGACAGAAAATGGCAGCAAACACCGGGTAAAATTGTTATCTTACTCTTTAATGTAAGGTTTATATGGCGGCTCATGTAATAAACAGAAATCGTCATTTTAATTATATAAACTGCATATTTATATCCCATTTTTCTTTTTATTTGCAAATCTATCGGTTGTATAAGGATCGAATGATTCGGCCCAAGACAAATCTACCCCACCCATTTATTTATGATTACGATTTAGTCAAAATATATTGACGTGCCAAAGCTTGATTCTGAGATATTTTCGTTCTGGGGCAGAATCTCGCTTTAACGTAGAGGCGAGATATTGCCCAGACACGAAAATAGCACAATATCTCGTCGCGGAGTACAATTAGTTGGACTAGATTACGATTATGTTTATGATATTAGTGTATTTACATAAAAAGCACGTTTAAACTTAGACAATTTTAATACATATTTAAGCTGTTGGAATTATTATTTTGTTGTGCTGGTACTGCTTGAGCTCACACTATTAACAAAAAATTCAAGGCAATGTATATCCTGATAATAGATAAATATAGCAATACATCTTTATAGGACTAGGTACTGTGTGTAAGATCATGCCACTCGTCTCCCATAATTATTTTTTGGTCTTTTTATGGCTGCGGGCATATAGCTGTAAAAGCTGTATGGGCCAAAGTGTAAAAATCTATTTTTAGCACAAATGACCTTGACCCACTGATCCCTACCCCAATCAAAATGATGACCATGCAAGTTATCTTCCTACCAAATATAAAATATATCTGTCACTTAATAAAGGCTGTATGAGCAAATGTGTAAAAATCTATTTTTAGCACTGGTGACCTTGACCCAACTGACCACTAACTCCATCAAAGTTTATGTTTCTATCAATTATAAATAACATTTCTGTCAATAGAATAAGGTCAATACACCTTTAAAAATGTAAAAATCTATTTTTAACATTGGTGACCTTGACATTGGTGACATTGACCTTGACCCAAATTACCCCTTACTACATCCAAAGAAGGAGGACCTCCCTTGACATGTTTGTATTAAACTAAAACATCAACTAAAATATAAAGGCTGTATGAGCAAAAATGTTTATATTCATTTTTTAAACCAGTGACCTTGACCTTGACCCTAGAGACCGCTTACTCCACAAAAAAATCAATAGGGGTTATCTGCTGATCATGAACAATCATCTGACATACAAAGTTTGAAGTTCCTAGGCCTATGCATTCTTTAGTTATTTATCTGAAACCATTTATACCTACAAGGGCAATGTGACCTTGACTGTTGACCCCTTGACCTTTAAATCAATAGGGGTCATCTACTGGTCATGAACAATCATCATATCAAGTTTGAAGTTCCTAGGCCTAAGCGTTCTCTAGTTATCACTTGAAAACCATTTGGTCTAAGAACTGACACAAGGACAAATGCAAAGCAATCTTGAAGGGGGGGGAGGGGATGATAAAATGTGAACGTGTGATACAACATGTGAATTCTCCCACTTTTAGCAGGAGGCTCCCACTTTCTTTAGCCATATTTTCAATGATTTTTACTTAAAATAAGGGCTATTTTCACAAATTAAAGAAATGTCCCTCTTTTTTATATCAGAACTTTCTTCTTTGTTTATTGCATATTCTAAAATCTCCCTCTTATTGAAGAAAAATCACCTACTTAATCATCGAAAAAGTTCACATGTATGCCTTTTGATTGAGATAGGGGTCAGTGGTCAAGGTCAAGGATGTCAAAATTTGCATTATTTTTACTGATGATCATGTTTTTTATATTGTGTGGGATGATAATGGGTCAGTTGGGTCAAGGTCATCAGTGCTAACAGTAGATTTTCCCCACTTTTGCCCATAAAGCCTTTATTCATGGACAGACGCCTTTTATATTTGATTGGAAGATAACTTGTATCAATTGAGTTAGGGGTTAGTAGGTCAAGGTCAAGGAGGCCAAGAATAGATTTCTACACATTTGCTATTAAGCCTTTATTTTTTAATGATATGTTTAGCTCGACTTTTTTTTTTTTTTTTGAAAAAAAAAAGTATAGTCCTGGCAGCGTTGTTGTAGCCATTGCTGTTCGCTAACTTTTACCTGGATCATTAATTTCTAAGTTGTTGGTGTATTGTCTTCATACTTGGCCACAACAACCCTTGGGTCAAAGTCAAGGGTGCAAAATATAGATTTTTATACAGTCTTGTTTTATAGACTGAAATTTTCATATTTGAAAGCAATATACCTTGGATGGTTCAGTGCTGGCATTTACCCAGAGTGGAAAGCGTGAAACATAACTTTCACGATTTTCTTGCATTCCAGAACTCATGTATAACAAAATATACAGGCCCGTAATATCAAATTTATAGAACATAAATAAATTTGCACTTTATCACAAAAATCTAACTTTCTTATTACTGGACCGAATTTTATGAAAAATATGTCAAAATGCTTGGAATGATACCAAGAAATTTAAGCAATCAATAAAAATACTGAAATAAGTAATTTCACTCGATAACTCTGAATTTTACAAAAAGATGATACAATAATTTACATTGGATTTAGTATAAAACTGAGGTTCGGCATGAAAATAGAATACTACAAAAATCAAAGTACTGAAAGCACTTCTGAGCATTTACGAAATGGTTTACTTTGTGACATTTTTATGCTGGTGTACTTTGATAATTTCCAAAAAGTAACTCATTGACTGATTACCTGAACCATTTTTCTTTAGGTGATTTAGTGCTTGGTATGAAAGTCAACTTTTTTAGCTCATCTGAGCTGGCTCAGGGTGAGATTTTAGGGTCATTGATTGTCTGTCTTCCCGTCCACATTTAGTTTGTTAACACACAAGTGGTCACATTTTTGCATTAATTGTCATCAAACTTGGTCATGATGTTTGTTCAAGTAATTTCTGGGACTAGTTTGAACATGGGTCATTTAGGGAGTGTTCTGGAGATGAAAAAATATGTTAATAAGTGTTTCTAAAAATAGAAGCAGGCTGCTATCTCACTTGGCACCACTGTTGTCAATGTGGTGTTGAAAATTATTAAACCCTTTGTATTCTATAAATAGAATTTAGGTACTTAAACATATATAAATCACGCAAATGCTAAATTAACAATATGTATCTCACTAAATTTAAAATATAAGTAAAAGTAGAAACATTCTATGTTGTATATAAAGAGTCTTAGGCCATGCTAAGTTAAGTTTTACTGTTACAGAGTGTATCAATAATTTCTACAATGTTGCTTAATACAACTATAATCAACATTAAACTAGTGTATGAAAAGAATGAAATGTCTATAAAACAGTACATGTTTGATATCATTAAACTTTAAACTAAACTTAAATCTAAATTAAAGTAACAAAGCTTAAACCCTTAATATTTCTTTAAAAATATGTATGAAGATTATATATGATTTACTTCTTGAGTAATATTATACAATATTATAAAATAATTATATAACCTGTTGTAATTGGAATTCTACTTTACAACTGGAGCAAAAAAAATAATCTTGTAATCGCTCAAATACCCAGAAAAATTGACCAGAAAGGTTGTTTAGACGAATTCTAGTTCTAAAATGGGTCATCTGGGGTGAAAAAATAGGTCACACAGCCCAAATATTGAAAAACAATGTTAACACTGTGGAGCGGTGGCCTAGGGGTTAAGGTGTCTGCCTCTCAACCCAGAGATCATGGGTTCGAGCCCTACTCGGGTCACGACCATGTTTCTTCATACGACACCAGTACTGGCTGGTTCCAGGAAGCCAACTCGAAAGTGATTAATATAAGTTGGAAGAACTTGTTTCGCAATCGAGCTTAAATAAATATGTTTAAACCAACACTCTGGAGGCAATTTAGCTCTAATGTCCTGGGAATTGGTCAGAAAGGTTGTTATGTTGATTTCTAGCTCAACTTTGAAAATGGGGCATAGGGGTCAAAAACTAGGCCACTGAGCCCATTGTTAACATTAATTGTTAATATTTTCAGCCCAAATATCCTGGAAATTTGTCAGCAAGGTTGTTTTAATGATTTCTAAGTCAAGTTCAAGGTGGGTCATCTGTGTTCAAAAAATAGGCCACTGAGCCCATATTTTGGAAAACCTTGTTTACATTTGCACTTTTTCAGATGCAGATATGAATGTTATGATACCAGTTTAAGATTATTACATTTTATCTGCTAACATTATCTTCATGCCTTAATAAACAGATGAGCAATATAAAGGCCATCATGGCCCTCTTGTTCTACTTTTCTCACTAATTATTTTACATTTGGCACTACTTTTATCAGGTAACAAGCATTAAACATGCATTGCTGAAAAGCCAATATTTAAATGTTAAAAAGTTCATGTTTGCACTTTCTAAAAAAGTAAAAATTTATTCATTTCTGAGGCATAATGTGATAAAGCATTTTAATATAATTGATATATGAAAATTATATGAAACATTGCAGAAAGCTAGCAGGTAAAACCTTATTCATCACTGGAGCAAGTAGAGGAATAGGGAAAAGTATAGCCTTAAAGGCAGCAAAAGATGGAGCTAATATTGTTATAGCGGCTAAAACTGCAACACCTCACCCTAAACTACCTGGTACCATATATACAGCAGCACAAGAGGGTTTGTACATCTCTTATGTATATAGATATTGTTTTACCTTTTTCTGCACTGTTTTTATACAAAATGTATTATGAATCATTGTATTGCAAAGAAATAAATAAGGAAATAGTATCATAAAATGAAATTTGAAAGCCAGGATGTAAATAAAACTGTGCTGTCAGCATATAAATATCAATTTGAAGATGTATATTTAGAATTATTATTAATATCAATGCAGCACATTACAACTTGAAGGTCACTTGTTTACAGTAACCCCTGGGATCAACCTTCCTCTTACCACCTGGGATCAACCATCGTCTTACCACCTGGGATCAACCATCGTCTTACCACCTGGGATCAACCATCGTCTTACCACCTGGGATCTGAACCATCGTCTTACCACCTGCTCCTTTGTTTTCACTAAGTTACTGCTCCTCTCTAGACCACCTGGCCTTGCTTCTTTCCAAACATTTTGCCCTTTATACCATCATTCCTAAGCACTAGGATTTTGCTGTGATATTTGTATTTGTTGAATGGTGATTTCAGTTGAAGCTTTAGGTGGAAAGTGCCTGCCATGTATAGTTGATATCCGTGAAGAAAAAGAGGTAGAGAAAGCTGTAGAAGAAACTGTTGCCAAGTTTGGAGGTATAGACATACTAGTGAACAATGCTAGTGCAATCAGTCTTACAGGAACTATGGCTACACCAATGAAAAAATATGACCTCATGATGGGTGTGAATGGGAGAGGCACATACTTATGGTAAATTTTCATTAACCCTTAGCCTGCTGAATATGTGAAATGCATTTGCCTTTTTCTGAACTTCGAACAAAATTTTAAATTCAAAATAAAATGATTTCAGTATCAAAATACAAAATTTATCTTTCAACAGTATAGAACCTGGTCTCCCCATATTGTGTCTGTATGAACCCTCTTAAGTTTATAGAAGTTTGGCCCTCTTAAGGTTTCATCTTGTTATTTCCAACTAACAGGTAGCTTTACTAAATGACATGTAGCATTATACATGTATTTGGTGTTCTTAATATGTCTTTTTCAAACTTAGCATTTGGTGTGTATAAATCATCAATCTACTAGATAACAAATGAAGTATAATATTTTCTGTTTTAGTTCAAGAGCATGTCTACCATATTTGAAGAAAAGTTCTCATGGTCATATACTGAACATAAGTCCACCATTAAACATGGATAAAAAATGGTTTAGAGGACATGTAGGTAAGTTAATCTGCTACATAACTAGGAACTATTGGTTTGATTTTGAACTACAGGTAATTGTTTGTTTTGATTCATAGTGACCCTAAACTAAATTTGCTGGAATGAGTTTGATTTGTTTCCTTCAAAGTGAATTTCTGTTTTTAACCCCTATCCTGCTGCCTTTGTCACTAGTATAGAGTCAGGTCATCAGTCTGATCAGGTTTTATACTAGTGGATGTCTAATTTTAAATTTATATCTTATACAATGGACAATTCTAAAAATAGAAGCTGGAAATGTCCATTAAAAAATTCATCAGGTGAAGGGTTATTAAAGAGGTTACGCTAGTATGCCATAAACAGCAAAACAACTACTAAATCGTAGGGTAGCATTAAACATCATTTATAAAAAATCACTTATAAAATTGTCTTGTTTACATGAATAAAAATATAATATATACACTTTTTGTTTAAAGCTTATACAATGGCCAAATATGGTATGTCTATGTGTGTACTTGGAATGTCAGAGGAATTGAAGGATGATGGTATAGCTGTAAATGCACTCTGGCCTAGAACAGGTAACTTGTATTCATCATTTGCATACAATTTTTGAGTAAGAAATGAAATTGTGTGACTGTAGTAAATTAGGACATTTATGATACCTTGAGTTATGAATAGTACCCTAATCAAACTACAAGACTTCTAGTGGTTGTTCCACTCAGGTGCCAACTTCTAACTAAAACTAATGCACAAACTAATGCACAATGTGTGATTTTTCTTTACTAGTAAAGCTGGAAAGTCGCCACATGACCTTAAAATGTCTAAGTTACTTAAAATCAAACAACAAAAACAAGGATGTTAATCTGGGTGGTTTAATTCAATTAGATGAACTCCAAACTTTTATAATAAATGCCACAAATGAATACAAATTATTCTGCCATTACGTGGGAAAGTCTGATTGGGGCTGCAGGCCTCACGAGGGTTGTAGGGCTCAAAGATTACATGTATGTGTGTGAGTTAATTGAAATCACATTAAAATCATTAAAAAAAAATACATGTCTAATTTAAAATTCTTGGACTGATTCTATATTTGAGCTATAATTAGAGTTTAAAAAAAAATTAACAAAAGCGTGTACACAATATAGACTGTTGCTAGGAGAAGCCCCAGTCTTCTGTCCTAAATTACTGTAAAAGTATGATTTAGAAAATAACTGAATTAATATCATTGATAAAAACTAAAGTAATAATGATAAACGAAGTAATTACATTTCTAATATCAATTTTGATAAATAGTATTAACGACTCTGATTAAAAAATGCCGACAAGATATTCACATACCATCCAAACACTTTGATGATAGGTTCATTCATATTTATTTAACGGTACAAAATACCTACATAATAAGCCCAGGAAAGATCTGATTTATATACTGAAAATATCAGGCTTGTCATTATTTAGAGCTTTCCACATCATAGGTATCACCTAATTTCATATTAACAATTACTGGTAAATAAATAGCTGTTTCTGTTAATATTATTTAGGGACAATATTTTGTGGTATACAAGACTTGCATTCCTTTCAATGCTTAACCTGCTGGAACTGAAAATGATAAGTCATTACCACCAGTATAAAGCCAGGCCAGCCTGTACATCTGTGCTGAGTGTGACCTGAGGCTCTTTACTGTTGCCAAATGTTGAAATGAAAATCCCTTCCCTTAAACTTTAAATAGAATATTCCAAATACTAAGCAAGGCCAATCCATTACACCACCAACAAGATTGTCTGTTAAAATGTTAGCAACACTTTTGATTTAAAAATGAAAAGTTATGAAAGTTTGTCAGCTAGTAGTACAGTGTCTTAGTCTGTGAAGAATTGTAGGCTGACCTGGCTGTATACTAGTGGCAAAGGCTGTTAGTTAACTTTTCAGTTTTCAAAATATTATTAAAATCTTTTATTTTGAAGATAGCTTAGCAGTTTTAGTGGTACAGTAAACTCCGCTTATAACGAACTCATTGGGACATTCAAAATATGTTCCTTATATCCGGAGTTCCTTGTAAGCATATAGCGAATTAGTTCCTTGTATCAGAAGTTTTTATAGCGAACAGTTTTACATATAACGAACTAATTCTTTCCATCGTCCTCCATTTAGAAGAGCATTTGATTAAGAAAAATAACTCTTGGGTTCGTCATTGTTGTCTCCCTTATATTGATTCAATGAAGAAAAAAAGAAATTATTTCATTTTTTTATTTAATTTTTATTTATAAATATATCTATAAGATAATTATATGATATGTACCATATATGCAATATTGTTATTTATTAACGATACAGTATCATGCACACAAATAATTACTTTGCTTTGAAGAAGTCGCTAATTTAGGTTGGGGAATGTTGACAACTCTTCAAGTTAAATTCAATATCCAATAAATTTTTAAACATGTGCATTAGACTCGAAATTTGACCTAATCTTGTGCAAACAATCAATAGCTTCATTTTTTGACACAACCGGCAGATCATATAAATAGATCTCGTCTTCGGGCGATTGACTGTCATCGTCATTATTTGTTTCTAATATATCCGCTACACTCGGCCAAGTTTAAATCTGTGCCGATGAAAACGAAAGTAGAAAATGCGTGATTTGTTTACGGATAGCCGATATTTTTGGAGTTCGTTATAAAAGTGTAATTTTCTGTACTTTTTATAGCATTGGGACTAAAAAATGAGTTCCTTATAAGCGATAATTCCTTATAACCGTGTTCGCTGTAACCGTAATTTTTTACATTAAATTAAGAAGGGCAAAATTCGGGCCAAAAAATTTTGTTCCTTATAACCGGAAGTTCGCTATAACCGTGTTCGCTATATGTGAAGTTTACTGTATTTGGAAAGGGAGTTAATTTTAATCATTTGTTTAAAAATATCTTAAATGCAGTTATGTCCATTGACAAGCTTTTCAGATTGATAAACCAAGTTTAACCTAGCTATCCCATTCAAGATAATGGTCAGTTAGCTAGATACACTTTTTTTTTATAATCTACTTCCTGAAAACATTGTAATGAAATAGATTTTTCTTTGTGTAAAAGTTTACAAAGTAAACTTTGTAAATTATATGATTGTTTATAGACTCTACAGATAAAAATGTACTTTAATGCTTTAACTGTTGTTGGCAAAAAACTGTTAGTTACATTTATTATAACCCATTTATATTTAGTAGATAATATTTAAACATGTTTTTTTTTGTTTATTCTAGCTATATATACAGCAGCAATGGAGATGATTGGGGGAGGGTCAGAGGTCGCTGATCAGTGTCGTAAGCCAGAAATCATGTCTGATGCTGCATATGTGATGCTGACAAAAGATACGAGCTATACGGGCAACTTTGCTATTGATGATGAGGTCCTCATTAAAGCTGGTATAACTGACATGGACCAATATGCCTGGAGTCCTGGTAATTTCTTAATACTGCTTCCAATTGCTGTTATAATGTGAGTTCAGATAAATTCTTGAAATCTGTTTCTGTAAAACTTATGCTTTGGGTCAACTATTTTCTTAAACTGTTTTCAGAGCACATCTGTTTATGTTTTATTGATTTTACTTTACAAGTTTTGTATAATAGTATTTGTAATTCACCTTCTGAGGAACAGATTTGGGTCCACCCTATATGGAAATTGTTTAATCATGACATTGGTAAAAAACAAGGAATTCTGACAACAGCCACAATGTGTATTTTGAAACTTTTTTGAGGAGTAGAGCAATATGTTACTTGATCAGTCAAAATAAAGTATGCATTCATCATGTAAGACAACTGTTGTTTTTATACATTTTTTCAGGTAAACCACTGTTGCCTGACTTTTTCCTGGAGGAAGACCCTGAGTATTTGCGACAAAAGATAGTAGAGCAGGGTGGAAAGCCAGCATTTGGTGGTGAAAACAAGGCGGCACAAGGTGGTGCTACTGTACAAGTGTTCAAACAGTTGGAAAATTTGATGAACGAAGACTTGGTGAAAAGTGTAGGCGGTGTGTTCAAGTTTGATTTGAAAGGTAATCATAACTGAACAAATGTCAGTTAAACTATTGTGAACCCTAACCATTCTAAATATCTAAAAAAAACATTTCCATCTTTCATTTAGGACAGACCCAATTATCAAAATAAATACTGACCATAATCAGACTGCACATCTAGTGTTGACACAGACTGCACATCTAGTGTTGACACAGACTGCACATCTAGTGTTGACAATGAAGAGACAGCATACAAAAATCCTGGTTATAAGATTGACTAATGGCGATGGGTTGAGCGGGCGCATACAGGTGGTTTCTGGTCAATAACTAGAGTTAGGATCAAGATATTGTTATCAAATTTGGGTTATAGGAAGCTTATAGGGAGACTTTGCTTGCCATTGGATTTGGGTCCCCTAGAGTCAAGGACGCTGTTAATAAAAATAGAGAAATGGTTTCTGGTTTAAAAACCTGGTTTCATGACATTGCCATGTTTCTTGTTATATCGTGTGCTTAAAATAAATTCTTATGTTTTTGTCATTGCACATAGAATTAAAATCAGACCTTTCCTAACAATGTTATAAAGCTTGCCACAGGCTTATTTAACCCTTTCGCTGCCAGAGGGTTATTGTTTTATTGTTCACCTATTTGCCAGAGGATTTTCTAAGAAATTACTATATTATTAATTAATATAATTATTATTATTTGTTATTAGTATTATAATAATTAAATATGTTTCCAAATCTGTTAGTATAATAATAATTATTGTCGATGGTATAATTTTTTCATATTTATTATAATTTTATTATTATTATAATTAATTTATTATTATTACTATTATTATTATAGAAACGGCTAAAGCCGTCCATATGGCAAATACGCCGAAAATAACTGGGACGGCTTAAGCCGTCCCTATGGCAGTGAAAGGTCTAATAACACTTTCCTAGACTTGTAAAATTCAAGTCTGTATGAAGTGACAATTCAATGTAAGATCCTATATAGCTAGTGTTTTGAGCACATCTTGTCTTCCATCTGTCTGTTTGTCTTCCCACACTTTTAAAGAAGAACTGCTCATAAATTATCTGGTAATACTTAGTAGAGATTATCATTTGTTTTTTTTTCTTTTGATTTTGATTTTCAAAGTTCTTGATGAATTGTATAATACAAAAACTGTATGTCAGATTTTGATATAATTTGAAAAAAATCAATAAAAATCTTTGGTTGTTTGAGCTACAGTGCAGCCTCTGTGTAGCAACCCCCAGTTTGGTTGTTTGAGCTACAGTACAGCCTCTGTAACCCCCAGTTTGGTTGTTTGAGCTACAGTACAGCCTCTGTAACCCCCAGTTTGGTTGTTTGAGCTACAGTACAGCCTCTGTAACCCCCAGTTTGGTTGTTTGAGCTACAGTGCAGCCTCTGTAACCCCCAGTTTGGTTGTTGAGCTACAGTACAGCCTCTGTGGAGCAACCCACCAGTTTGGTTGTTTGAGCTACAGTACAGCCTCTGTAACCCCAGTTTGGTTGTTTGAGCTACAGTACAGCCTCTGTAACCCCCAGTTTGGTTGTTTGAGCTACAGTACAGCCTCTGTAACCCCCAGTTTGGTTGTTTGAGCTACAGTACAGCCTCTGTAACTCCCGGTTTGGTTGTTTGCTGAGAGGTGTTGCTCTGGAGAGGTTATCTGGTGTCAAGTTTTATTTTTAATTAAAGATGACAAAACTCCCTTGGATGCATCATACTTATCAGTTCTAAATATCTGTCTGCTGCAAAGTTAAACATTTTGCTTATCAGGCTACTATACCTTGTTGTTTGGCATGTTGATTAAGTGGATATGATCCTTGGTTTTCTTCATTTTAAAGCAGCACACTTCCAGTCTAATACTAAATGTGACGAAAATTTAG